AACGCAGGGAATTCCCGTATAGACTGAGTATGGCACGGATTTTATGGGGCAAGTGTGGTTTTAGTCTCCCCGCCCCATATTCATAAGTCATACACATACCATACCTGCCACACCAAGAGAAGTTTTTCATATATAAAAACTAGATTGATCAAATTGTAACATGTCACTGAAAAGAAGGGTAATTTAGGAAATGAGTTGAAATGTAATCGAGTGGTCACCCAAACCAAACTTTAATTTCTTTCCCTCCAATTCTCGCTTCACTTTTTTCTTCCTTTTAATAAGATTATGTTAATTAGTTATTACTTAGTACTTGTGTCAGAATCGTATATTAATGATTTGGATAGTTTTCTAATTTTCTGCTATAGTGAGTAGTGACATGTTGAAAGATTTATGTAACATCTATAACTGTTACATAAATTACAAATTCACTAAAATGTTACTTTATATAACTTGATTTTATTATTAGATCACATATCATGAAAGATTTATATACAAAAATTCTATATCAGTTACATTAACAACATTCTATAACGATTAAATAAATTAAAAATTCATTTTTAAAATTTGTAGACACTAGATAAAGTAAATTTTATAAAGTGATAGCTATTATATAAGCAAATATATTACATGAGTCTTTCTTAACGATTAACACATTATGTAAAGTTTATGAACATTTATCATTTTGTATGTATCAATTAAACAAAATATTATGTAAGTTTTCCATAATGATTAAACACTATATAAACCTTATGTAGGGATAATTATTTATTATGTATCACTGACACAAACAAATGACATATGTTGTTCGCAATGATTAATACAATACACGAAATTTAGGTAGGTATCTTTATCGAATAATTTTGTGAATGGTTTGATTTTAAATAAATTATTAGTTTCTTACCGCGACGGAGCGCGGGCCAAAAAACTAGTGTTCTTAGTAGGAGAGTTTCCATAAGCTTTTCCTAATTTGCGCCTACCTCTTGAAGGTGTGTTTCGTTGGAGACATGGTCTCCCTAGATGGTCTGGGTAGTTTGCTCGTGATAAGAAAAAACAACAGTTTTTCGTGCTTTAACCAACTTGAACCCTCGTCAATGGAGAAGAAGGTCAGCTCGTCAACTATAGGAAGTAGTTGTTGCTGGAGTGAGGTAGCTTCTGGAAAAATTTCAAAGTATTCCCAATCTCTTTAGTTTGTACCTAGGATTGTTAAACTATACGGGAAGTCATACTAGAAAAATTAGTAGAGTATTTTGTACTAAAAATGTATTTGAACCATGACTCACAGTTTCGTACTACTAAAGGCACCTACCATTTGAGATCCAATATCCGGTATTTCCAATCCGACAGGCTGATAAGGTACGATTTTTAAAACATAGATTTGTATTTTTTTTCCTTTCTCGGCATGTGCTTTCTTCAGCCTCAAGTTTGTCTTCTTTCGTGAACTGTTTGCCTCAACAGAGGCATTGTAGCCAATTATTCCAAATATATAAGTTGAGATATGGAATGAACATCACTTAGGTTATTATGGTTTCGACACAAAAGAGTTGTTATGATATCATAGTCTAGTTGACAAACGCTAGCTGCCCTAAACAACCATGGCGGAACAAGCAAGCACTGTCAACAACAATTGTCCAAATGCATATTGGTTTATGTCTAATTGAGGGTAGGAGTGAGACAAGAGGATTGTGGGAGCGAGTGAAATAAGGGATTGAACCGCCTTCTGCCTTTATTCCTTCTTTGGGTTACAAGAGGTTTGGAAAAAGGGAGAGAGATATTCTAGAGATAGAAGATCTTGTTTTCTAGAGAGAGGTTAGAATTCGATCCCCCACCACCGGGGTAAATGCTCTATTTATAGGCCTTCCGGTGGGTGGGTTCCCAATGTGACATGATGCTTTGAAGAGACAGAAAACTAGGGTATGATGAGGTCTACAAGTGAGACATGATGGTGTGTCAGTGGAACGATGTCATATTGAGTTTCTTGTCTGTGGGCGACGTTGTTACGACTTACGTGGGCACTGCCTCTCCTGGTGAATATCGCGCAGGTGATACTCTACGCGCGAGAACTTTCTTAACCGCGCCTTGCTTAGCTACTCGCGGACGGGGTTTTGGTCATGCCTTGCCTTGGTATTCTTTATTCTTTCTCGTGGTGGTGAGTGTTATTGCTGGCTCGATTAGACCCGAGCCATGCCCCCAACACATATCCTAGGGTGGGTCCCTGCTACATATATGGTTCTAAACAACCAGAATTGATGTTAGTGGGAGAGAAATCTACACCACTAATTACAATTACTGGAGCAAGGCCATGATTAATGCTTTGATTGCCAATAGCATGTTTGGTCTCATCAATGGAACTCTAGCAGATCCAGGAGAAGAGAATCCTCTCACTAGGTCATAGAGTAGAAAAAGTGTTATGGTGCTTTCTTGGATACATCAGGAAGTCGAACGAGTATCAAGAAGGCCATCATGTCATGCAAAACAATGCTTGAAACTTGGAGAAGTCTAAGGGCAAGGTATGGACAAAGAGACATGGTAAGGATTGTTGAACTAAATTAGGCATTGAGTAATCTCAAGAAAGGTAACCAGTCTTTCATTGACTATTATGGAACTTTTATAGCTATAAAGGATGAGTTAGATAACTATTAGCCCCTAGAACATTGTGACTATACACCAAACAACCATGATACTTGTAGAGGTATGAAGAAAGTATTTTCTTATAGAGACACAACTATGTTATGCAGTTTCTAAGACTTTTAAATGAGAATTTTGCGAGTGTGAGATCTCAAGTGTTATTTGAGAATGTTGCCACCTATTGATAGAGTCTTTCATAGGATGCTTAATCATGAAAGACAAAAATATGGAACTCATCAAAGCAAGGCACTTACTGCCGAGAGTATGTTTTAACTGCAAAACAACAACAATATTCAAATAAGGAGGACAAGACCCTATTACACTCACAACAAGCTTTTAGGGAACAGTGACGATATCAGGTACGGCAAGTATGGGTGTCCTCCAGGCATGCCCCAAAATCACCAAATCCTTTCAGAAGGGTATTGGAGTGCACTCGTTGCAAGAGGCAGAAACGTGTTGAAGATAGGTGCTACATTAAACATGGTTTCCCAAATACAAAAGGAAATCTCATGAGCAAATCCCAAGTGAAGGCAACATCAACAAGCATAGATGATTCCCAACATAAAATCAGATTGACCAAAGCACACTACACCAACTTGACGTCTCTCATTCTCTCATGAACGAGAAGAGCAACCAAAGTTCTCCAATAAGCAACAACCTGCCCTTTTGAATTGCAAGCTTCATCAATAAGGCAACGAAACCCTCAACTAAATATATATTGAATGTGAGTGGAAAATCAAAACATGATCGAACTTGGATCCTGAAGAGTTTTCATACCACATAGTGTGTTCTCTTAATTACCTAGACAACTATAGGAAGATACACAATTTTTTCATAAAATATGCCAATAGAGGATCATGTGCAAGCAACTGAGTAGCCTGTGTTGTTGACCTGGTGTTCCAAGAGGTTATGTTTGTGCCTTAGCTCAGTTTCAATCTCATATTTGTTAGTAAAATGACCACAAACAAATCTCTCTACTTAACTTTCTTCTCTAATGTATGCTTGACCTAGATATGCAGCTGAGGAGGATGACTAGTACTGCTAAGCTATCCTCTTATCTTTACCACCTAGATAACATATTAGTTAACATTCAACCTAAACACATCATCATATCGCATAACATTCAAGGCTTTGATCTTTCACATTACATATTGGGACATGTGTCACACTCTAAATTTATCATTTGAGGCAACTTTGTTAAGCCATAGATACCAACAGTTCTTTGTTTTTGTGATGTTTGTCATTTTGCTAGATAGAAAAGACTTTATTTTCCTGTGGTTCGTCTGCTACTACAGAAATTTTTGAATTAATACATGTCGATATTTGGGGGGCCAAATCCAACTCCTAGCGTTTGAAGTACTATCTTACCATTGTAGATTAATTTAGTCGAATGATTGGATACATTTTTTACAAACCAAATTTGAGGCCAGACCAAAACTGCAAGAATTATGTCTCTATGTTGAAAGATAATTTCAAACCATAGCGAGAATGATCAGAAGTGACCAAGGTAGAGAGTTTCATATGAAGGATTTCTTTAGTCAAATTGGCATTTTACACGAACTTTCATGCGATGAAACACCTTAATAGAATAACAAAGTTGAAAGGAACCACAAACACATTTCTTCATGTAGTTAATGTAAGTATAACCTTGCACGATGATATGTTCAATACAAAATGCTTGTATGTATCACACAAGTTAGCATAATCCATCACATAAGAAATGAGATAGGTGATACATGAAGTGAAGCATTGGGTCTCTTTGGATTTCTTTGAAAATCTTGAGAATGTCAATGTATTCCCAAATTTTTCGGGTCAATACAAAGTCTCTATATATGTTTTTAGCCCACGCATCCGAAAGGCATTTTTAACAACCTCAAAATACCTTACCGAGTCAATCTTACCATTCATCCACCTTTTTCCTTCACTTTGAGTTGCAGGTTCTTTGATTCATAATATGACATTATGACAAAGTTAAAATAGAGATTAATTGGTAATTTATCTTACTTTCTACGCATAGATGTAGTGGTATTCGAGTTTGTGAGGAATTTTGTAGGTGTCCAAAAATATTATGTATAAGGATTACTCTTAATCATTCTATTAATAGATATTAGTCTATCTTCAATTGGAGTTAAGCTACTCACTAATAAATATTCATACTAGTGTTAGTATTTCGATTAGTAGGCATTAGAGGGTTGGTTAGTAATTGGTAGGAAATAGGGGTTAGTAGAGTTATTGAGTAGGTACTTCTTTTCGAAAACAAACAATTTAGGTACCCATATGAAAATTACAAGGTGAGAACGGAGAAGACAAGTAAAGTAAGTGGAGTAAAAGTAAATATTCGAAAAGTTGAGTGATTTAGGTGTCCGCTTTGCTCTGCGGAGGCTCTCCAGTCTCCAATCCATCCAGTTCAAAAGAACGCCCGAAAAAGAGGACAAAGAAGAAAGAAAACTGGCATCAGAGACAAGCAGTTGGCTCCCCTCCCTCCCACTGGCCATTTTGAATTTCATTCAAATTTCTTAGCTTCCCGACGGCTTTGATAATCTGGCGGGCGGCTGAGAGGAGGGAAAACCGGATTTGCCTGCACAATTGATGATGAAGCTGGCGGATCCATCAATGGCATTACTCGCCGCTAGTGGCGGCGATACCGTCAAGCTCTTCGACGTTTCAGTGGAGTCGGGAGACCCCTGCGCCTTGACTTATACTCCCTCACCTGGTTTCCTGGTCAATTCGGTTAAGTGGAACCACACTAGTGAGTTCTTCTTGTTCTTCTTTGTTTCAGTGCCCGTCATTCTGTAGTTTTCATAATCTGAACTTCAATTTCTATTTCTGTTTGCTTCGGATCGATTAGGGTTTTCCAGTTGGGGAAGTGGCTGGAAATGTGAACAAAAAGTAGAATGTTGGTTGGAAATGGAAGGAGTAAAAAAGCAGGATGTTGGGTTGCTTTAGGTCTTTCGAGTCTCTATCTACGTTTCTCTGAACTGTCAGTTCTTCTCTTTTCCCTCTGTTGTGGCAGATTTAGTTGTGGCAAGTGCCGGTGAAGACAAGAAGATCTCTCTGTGGAGGAAAAATGGTCAGAGCATGGGCACAATTCCCATCGCTGGGACGGATAGTGGAGACGGCATTGAGGTGGGCTAGTTGTTTATCGACTGCATACATCAATTAACTTGCAAATGCGTAAAGGGCATTACATTATCTTGTAGGGTGTATATATATTCCCAGACGACAGAGTTCACTTATTATGATAAGCAGCTCTACTTAAATATTTCGCAATCCATGGATGTTTGTTATAATCACCTGATTTGGTCGAACGTAATGATCGAGAAGCACTGTGTTAGGGTTTAAGTCACAAGTCAACTGGAAACGTCAAACTGATGTTTCACATTTGGGGGTTGACTTTATGCTGATCATTTACCCAAAATGACTGCTTGGAAACTCAATGCAAGTATTAATAGCTAGTGTGTTGGAAAGAATATAACAAGTAAATTTGTCCTCCTTTTTGAAGCAATGATGATTGTATGTACAAGTTACCTCACCCATGAGTGCAGTTGTGCGTACCTCCACATCTCACCTATATAACAAACGTGGCACGTTCAGTAAACTGAAGGGAGAAGTTTACTGTGTGTTGTTCTGAATTATTTCTTCTGTGGTTACGATACCATTATTATAGCCGTGTTCTCTTGATGTCTGTGGCTTTCTTGATCCTGTGATGAAGTTATTGTTTCATTGAATATATTGCAGGAATCCATATCGGCTATTAGCTTTAGTAATAAGGGATCTAGATACATATGCTCTGGTGGAAGTGGCCAAGTTGTACGAATATGGGATCTACAGAGGAAACTCTGCATTAAACGGTTGATGGGTCATACAAATGCCATAACAGGCACTATGTACAACTGTAAAGATGATCACTTGGCTTCCATAAGTCTAAGTGGGGATCTCATTGTTCACAACCTTGCATCCGGTGGAAGAGCTGCAGAACTGAAGGACCCCAACAACCAGGTTGTTGACTTTGTTGTATGCAAGTGAAGAAATCTTTTCTTCCTTTTTCCTCTTGTTTCAGCAACTAATTGTTGATCTGATGGGTTTAAGACCAGGTACTGAGGGTGCTGGATTATTCACGGTTAAGCCGTCACCTCTTGGTTACTGCAGGTGATGATGGATCGGTACATTTATGGGACACTACAGGTCGCCATCCAAAGGTTCGTTTATACAGAATAAGAGTCTTAATCTGTCCTAACTGAGTGAATAAATTTTGTTACCTTCTTCCAATTATGTTTATAACCGAAATGATAAGGCATTGCCGATTTACAAACTTTTTCATGCTACTGGATAAGTAATAGCTCCCAGTAGTTGTTTCTCAGTTATAATGTCTGTGCATCCAATATTTGTAACACTGAGATACCTGCTTTGCAGAACTCTTGGTTGAAGCAACATTCTGCGCCAGCAGCTGGTGTTAGCTTCTCTCCATCAAATGACAAGGTCTCGTACCGATCCAAACTCCAGTGGATTCTTTTCCTTAAAAATTGTAGAAGCTTATCTGCTGTGAATTCAGATAATGTATGCCTGTCTCAAATTTGCAGATTGTAGCCAGTGTTGGCCTGGATAAAAAGTTATATACATATGATTCTGGGTCTAGACGGTCCTCCTCTTGTATTTCTTATGAGGCACCATTTTCCTCATTGGCATTTAGAGACGATGGATTGGTTCTTGCAGCCGGAACCAGTAGTGGCAGGGTTGTCTTTTATGATGTCCGTGGAAAACCACAGCCTTTCACAGTTCTTCGTGCTTATAGCAGCTCAGAGGTGGGTTTTACCCTTTACTTAATTCTGGTCTGGATGTGGGAAACACGATTTTTCTATATTATTATTATAATCATTATTAGGATAATTCTTATTATGGTTAGTAGTCTTCTAGTAGAATTAGGTTTATTAGTAGGGTTTTCTAGTATTTCCCTATATATATGTACTTTGGGTCATTCATCATATTAAGCAGAAATTAATAGAAAAGTTACCCTTCCCCAAAACCCTAATCACTTTCTCTCTCAAATCTCGTCTATCCTCCTCTCTAGAGGCCTCGGCCATTCTTTCTCGTTCTTCCCCAATTCTGTTCCTAATCCCTAATTCTCTTCTAAATCCCTAAATCTCTACCAATTCCCAATTTCCCAACACAATCGTGGGAACCCTAAAAATAGGTTTCCTACACTGGACCACAGAAAATCTAAATTATTTATGTTCGATTCTGTTTCGTGTATTTTCCTTGAGTGTTTATCATGAGTGTACTAACATGGAAAGTGGTGAAAGAAGAGGTGCAATTTTTTAGAAGTCCTGTAGATGTTCTCTTGGTTAAGATACAAAACTAGAAATAGTTTTCATGCAATTTTGAGTTTGAGCCTGTTGTAGATTTATCTGGCACTTGTATAGGAGGTGGGTTTTGGATTGGTTGATAACAATAAATCTTGGCTGTTAGTCAATGTGATGCCACTTCAAAACGAGTTTGTGGACATCGTTTGATGAATTACCATTTTCATGCCATTGTAAATGGTTATTTGTCAGGCTGTTACAAGTTTATGTTGGCAAAGATCAAAGCCAGTTGTTGTAAATGATAACTGTACGGCAGAGAGGGCCCTTCTTGGTGGATCTGTTGAAGATTCTATACTTATGCCTGACCCACTTCCCTCCGTGACCTCTGCTAGTCATTCAGAAGTTCCCTCCCTTTCAGGAACTGGTAGCGGCTCAACCTTGCCTCCTGTTGTTACTTTCAGTGAAGAAACACCACTTCGGCGGCCAGGTGGACCATTAACGAGATTAAAGGCTCCACGTACTGGTTATAATTTCACGGATGACATGGAAGTATTCTCGCCACTTGTGGAGGTTCAGCCTATCACACCTTCTCTTGACAAGTATTGGGATAATCATGAGGGATCAAAGTTAGATAATGTATTAGCTGACAAGAAGCCTTCAGCCTTCGTGTTTCCTTCATCAAGCAGCAGGAGATATCCCTTTCCTGAAGATGGAACAATCAATGAACATCCAATATATGATTGGAAATCCAGCTCAAACTCCAGACAGGTCTGAAATTTCTACACTTTCCTTTTGATATCCTGGTGTTGTGTGTGCGTGTGAACTTTTTCTGTGGACTTGCTAAATGTTCACTTGCGTTCAACTATCCTTTTGCTTTGTGGTGCTTTTGCCTGCCAATTCTCAACTCCTTGAACGTCTTTCATGCATTCGCTACTCAATCGAGAGTTTCTTTGTGTGCATAACTTCTCCTGGAGCTGTTATTGTGGGCGTTTCCTTTGTTAACTTGGGAAAGGAGCATTTCATGTGTTTGGGTGTAGTAGTTGATTGATGTGTCTTCTTCTGCCCTTCTTTTTAAGTAGGACGACAGCCGATCATCCCATACCCTCCTAAGTGAGTCGACTCCTCCATCTTCCAAGAGTGCAGAAACCTCAATAACTCCTCCAGAAGCTTGGGGTGGTGGTGAGAGATTTGATAAGATCGCACACCTTCGCCAGACATCCAATGTTATTCCACCTCGCTTGGGGATCTCAACTTCTTCTGGAAGTTTCACTTCAGGAGGGTCAATGCTTCTCTCAGGCATGCAAGATATATCCTCAACCATGATGAATCAAACAAGCATGAGCTCAGTAACCACTAGTTTTCCAAATTCGAGAGTTAGAGACATTTCTATTAGTCAGGAGACATCGATTGCATATCCAGAACAATTTTCGTCCTTTAGTCACTTGTCTATGCCCCTAGGTTCTGCAAAAAGCATTGTGGGACTGACTAGTAGTATCGAAGCACCATCAGGGCTACTAGCATCACCAAGTCTAGCCCGTAGATTCTCAACATATGCAGAGAGAATCAGCACCACCTCCTCTTTTAGTGATGGGATATCCCTTGGGGTTGCTTCTCCTAAAGTGAAGAAAACTGGATTTGAAACCAGGGAAGACCTATTAAATAGCCTTTCATCAAGGTCTGACTCATTGGCTGCTGTCGCTGCTGAGCCAGGAGTTCTTCCATTAGCAAATGTAAGCAGACCAAACATGATTTTGGAAACTGGCTTTTGTATTTCGTCGCATCAGTCTCATTTGTGAATTATGTGTGGCAGGGAGGGGTAGCACAACCTCACAAGGCTCTTCTTCAACCTTCTGATTTGCAGCAGCAGCAGGGGAGTTCATTTCCTCTTCAGTTATTTCAACGTGCGATAGAAGAAACTCTCGGCACATTTGGGGACTCACTACGTGAAGAGATAAGGAACCTTCATATCGAAGTCCTTAGACAATTCCATATGCAGGAGGTAAATCATCAAATCTGCAAATAGAACAGCATCAACTCATCTTTTTTGTCCACTCATCTTTTATCCTTGTGATTGGATTACAAGCATCGCTTCTTGTATTCAAAATTTGACATTAAGGAGGTGATGGATGTATGCAGTGCTCGAATCGTGAGAACCAAGCTGAGATGATGAAGAAAATTGAGTCCCTCCAGAAGGAAAACCAGGAACTCCGGCAGTTGTTAAGACAGTGACTCATTTGTTTTGAGTCACTTGATGATTGTGGTGATGATCAGATTCATGGAGTGAGTAGCCCCTCGGGGAAGGCATACTGCAAACACTCTTGCTCTTCTTCAGGCAGGTGCTGGTAGTGCTTTTCGGTGTTTCTGTTGTTTTGGTTATGTTTAGACAAAGGGTGTGGGAGTTAAAAGAGGCCTCCAGCTGGGGCAAGGTAGAGGGAGAATGGGGCATTCATTATCTGCCAGGCAACCTCACCAGTTGAGCATCTTTTGTTTCTTGATTCTGTACAGGTACATTTGCTCGTGTCCAATGAAATGAGATTATTCTTTCTTTGTTCGTGTTAGGTTTTCAGTTTTCTCCAGGCTCCAGCCATTTGCCACACCCTGGGTTCATTTCATCAACGGTTGAACAATGTGCAAAACATGTCAAACTGCGTCATGAATGGCAAATTGCTCTTCGTTCTTTGCCCAGTGCCGATTTGCGAGACGTTGCTTAACCCTATTTTGTTTGAGAAAACTGCCCAGAAATGAATCAATTTGATGTTTCTCGACCATGGAAATGCACTAGAATGGATTTGAAGTTTCATTTCGTAGGACACCCTATTTCTATATACTTTGAAGGGGAATGGGCAAACCCATATCATTAGTCATATCATTAGCCATCTACAGCATAGAGTAAAACACGACATGTATTGTTTTGAAGACATTCAAGAGATACAAATGATACACAAGTTCCCGCAACCGTATCATTCTAGGGACTTGGAACAATGAACAACGACAACTGTCAGAATGTCGGCCATCAATGTAGACATGCAAATGTTGGTGAATGATTCCATGCTTTCAGAGCAATCCAGGCTACCAGCTGAAGTACACCAAGTTTCGTTGCTGGTTAGTCTATCTGTGGGGTGGTATGTATCAATGTACATAACTCGGGGCAGGCAGGGGGACTTCATGGGCTGGGAAACACATCCAACTATACTTCTTCACTGTTAATTGGAAGATGTGTTTGAAGCGCCAAATTCCGAAAGAAATCTTTCAGAATGAATGGTCAAAAGGGACACTCTACTTCCTGGTTAGTTTCAACACATCCCCCACGAGATGCAACGAACCAGTAACTAGGACCTGATCAATGAGCAATACGAGACGGTAAGAAAGATGATTAACTGCAGTAGCACACATAGCTTATGTTGCTAGCAACTACCAACAGTGTGGGGTCAAGTCCACCGTACCAGCTTTCTAACAGGTTAAAAAGGAAAGGAAGCCAATATTCTTAGTTCTTAGATATCGGAGACAGAGGATTGATTACCTGGAGGCTGACAGATTGATTCTGTCTAACAGTGTCCCTGAGCCATTTGATAGCCAAAGGTAGAGAAGAAAAGACTACACTACTGCTCTCACTCCCACCACTTTTTCCTGAATCGTCATTTTTCTCCTCGGGCACATGATCCACTTGCTTGGCCTCCCTTCCTAGCATCAGAACCCAAGGCTTATCAATGGCTGAATATGATAGCAACTTTGGCACCAAGTTTTATGAGGAAAGCTCAAACAACCCCAAAATGCAACTTTGCACCGTATTACGGTTCACAGATGGCATCGTGGATATAATACCTTTATCATTCTGCATGGAATTATCCCATGCTCTTTGAAGAGTGAGCTGCCATGATAAATTAGGTTCAGAAACAGTTGATGATGTTAAATTATGAGTTCCAACTTTATGGTACACCGACACATTTGGGACAAAGAGTGCCTTCTTGAAGTGGACATCTGAAATGCAGAGATTTTGAATGTCAACTCAGCAAGAGCATACACTTATACACGTATTTCTTATTGGCAGTTTACAAAAACATAAAAATTAATCCAATTATCATATCTGAAAAAATGGTCTACATTGATTAACTTTGTTGCTGTGTTCTTTGTGAACAAAAATATATGTTCGGAAAGAAGCACATGTTTGATCCTTGCTCTCATAATTACCTTGACTAGCACATGTTTTCATTAATGGTGGCAGAAGCAGCTCAGGATCCCGCACTGACATGCAGTTGAACAACAATATCTGCATGAATACCAAAAAAACTGGATGATTTTAGCTTTGCCAAATGCCAAGCATTCTCAATCACTGGGATGCTCAAATTCAGCAATGATACAAAAATGTATTCAAGAGAGCTGCCACATGAATCAATTTCAAATTTATTTTTATATGCTTGGTCAATGCTGTCTTTTAAGTCTGGTATTGGAAGGAATATAGAATTTGAGAATGTTTGGGCTCTAAAATTTGGGGATATGGGGAAGGACCTCAAGCTGTACTCTTTCAGCTGAAGAGGGATCAAATACCTGATTTAGAAAATGACAAACAAAAGAGTTTCAGGCTGTACAAAATAATATTCAGGAAATTAATATCAAACAAAAACGAGGGAGAACAAAAAAAAAAAAAAAAAGGAGAGACATACATAAGAACTCATTTAGGCTTAGACCCGACTTATCAGGATTACGCCCTAATACTCTCCACTTCTCATTAATCATCTGATTACAATACATTACTGTTTCGCTCTTCAGTGGAATTGACTAACCAAAAGACTACAGAAACTTGAGAATGAATACTTGATATTTGCTAAGAAATAGAGATAGTTGCCTAACAACCAGAAAAGTCCTTGGTATTTTGACTTTCTTGTTGTGGATGTCCGCCAGCGAACCAAAAATAAAAACGACACTTGGACATTCTTCTGCAGGGACAGTGCCTTGCTAATTTCAACTTTCACCTACTGTCTCGGACAGGAGCTCACTCATGGAGAGCAAATTGATTAAAGGGTTGAACGTTGATGCTTACCTGCATGATATCCTTCTTTAATTGATGTGTGGATGAACTCACTTGTGGTTTCACTTTATCAGGTTGGTTCTCACCTTTAACAGCACCAGAAAACCATTTTGCACAAATTTCCATGCTTTCAGGACTGTGGGCACCATCCAAATAAAACACAAGATCCCCATCGTTTTCACTATCTACATATTGATCAGGGACAATCTGGGCCCGGCCTTGAAAAGTGGCTGCTGTTAACCCCTTAATAAACTGCTCAGGCAGTGAGCCCTGTTTCATGGAAGCAAGATTGAGAAAGTAGTACTACGAATATAACTTGCTTCCCAATATAACTAAAAGCACAAAACTTACAGCGTGCTCCTGGTTGGCAAGTTCAAGATGACCAGTCCTCCTCAGCCAAGTGAAAGAAAGTGCAATGGCAAGACCAGCATTAACATATTGGTGCTCACCTTCAAGACCAAGTTTTAGGCCATTTAGCAAATTGACATCCAACGGCTGTACAACTTGAAGATCTACCTGTACTCAGCATTAACAACCAAACTAAAAGTTTTAGGTTTCCGAGTAATCCCATCAAAAAAATTCCTTTTCCAATACTGGGATAATATTATGAAACCTACGACTGACATTTAAACTGGAAGCTTCGTCTTCAAGAACACACATTGCTTCATCAGGTTGTTGCACTGTAAAAGCAGGAATACCACGCTACATCAAAACATAACATTATGTGTCAGGATCATGAAGAATTTCACCAGATGGAAATGAATTAAGGTAAACAAACCTTTATAATACCAGCTTTTTCACCAGCAATTTCTCCAAGGGTGTACCCTGTGAAGCATGAAGGAAAATAAAACTTGAGCTTAATGGAATTGGCAGAGCAAGAAATAGGAATCTAATAGACGGAAATCCTAAATAGCTATCCTAAGAAAGCAACAGTTGGCACACATTTCCCAATTACCATTAGTAATTGCCAAGGCTAGAGAAAAGAGCACTAACCAAGAATCTCCATATGGTCATACCCAAGAGAAGTTATGCCACATACAACAGGTTTCTGAACCTGAAACATGGCATCATACATTCACATTAAGGACCTGACAGCAACTAAGGTGCAACAAAAATCATACTCAGGTGCACTCACTCACACCTCAAACCACATAATTGCATACCACGTTTGTCGCGTCGAACCTCCCACCTAATCCAACTTCCATAATAGCAACGTCTACCTGCACAAAGAAACTTAGTGCATCAGATTCCAAATGAGCTGGCATTCAGAGGAAAAACAGGAGAGACAGTGTGGAAGACGCAATAAATACATATATGAACCTGCTCTGCTGCAAAGATCTTGAAGGCAAGTAGCGTAAGAAAGCGAAACAAAGGAGGCATGGGTAAATCTTCAGTTGTCCTTTCCTGCCCATACCTTCCAAATTCAGCAACGTGGATATGGTCCAAATTCAATGAAAAACAAGTAGTCTGATACTAATCGAAGAGGAACTTAGGCGACTTATGGAGGGCCATGCTATTTCAAATAGATATTCCAGTTGAAGTGTCTTCAGTCCACAACGTTCCACAAAAGGAAATATTTTCCACTAGTATTTATTTCGTCTCAGATATTTTATAAACCAAAACCAAGCTAATTGCCTCGATCGCAAAAGCAAAAAAAAGAGAAGGATAATGCATCACTCTAATTCATATTGATGAAGTGGCCAGTGTGATGAGGAAACTTCATAAAAACTAACACCAACCAGTATGTTCTATTTATGAAGAGAAAAGTCAAAACAAGAATGAGAATCACCTTTAATCTATTGAAACACCACCAGAAATGAGCCAGAAACTTTTCCTGGGATATATCAACACTGCAATAGCCAACAAGAGACTGTAATGTTAACCTTTACAAGTAATATGAACAAGCCTTCAATATAAAAACCTGGGAAAAGGAATCCAAGAATAACAGAAACCATACAGTGAGCAGAAAACAATAGAAGCAGCACAATTCTTCTTCAACTAGCGAACCTATATCATATCTACAAAATCCTAATCATCATTAAAAAACATGGGCAACTCACCCATCCAAACGAAACCTTTCTCGGACATCGATGAGGTGGGGTGAGGTGAAAAGCCCAGTTCGAAATCCGCAATTCCTCAGAATAGACTCCGTGAATGTGCAAGTTGAACCCTTTGCCGAAATCAGAAAGCAAATTATAGCAAAATTAAACAGCAACCCTATACATAAAACTATGCAAAATTTAATTCACGCTTTCTAGTGGCACACCTACCGTTCTTAGCACTTGTCCACAAGTAACATAGCAAAGAAGTTACTACTACAGTGGAGCGCTAAGATTATAACCATTGATAGTAATTAAGAAGCAACATAGTAGTAGCATTACCTTCCCTTTGGTGCCTGCCACATGAACAATCTTCAAACCATCAAGTGCATCCTCCAGCTCCAGAATCTGAGAGCCAAGCAGGCAACAAGGAAAGAAGCTCAATCGAACTCCCCCAACCAATGAAACAGACTAAAAAAATATGCGTGCCTAGGGGAATTGATATTGACTTGAGTTGGTGGAAGGTAAGCAACCTTCAGGTAATCGAAGAGTAAATCGAATTGAATGGTGGTCTTAGTGCCCCGAGTCCGCTGGTTTATCATAGAAGATAAGGCCTCCATCGCCTCTTCGTACGGCGTGGGAGCAGCCGGAGATTCATTCTCGCCTGTGATATATGAAGCAACATCAATAGCAAGCTCAAGGTGGAAGTGAAGAATAAAACGACAAGACAGAATTGACTCTAGGAACGGAACAGAAAGCAGCAGGTCAGACGGATTTGACCGAATTTTCTCAGAACTCACCGTCTGCCATATCGAGCTACTCGAACGGCAGGCGGCGGAAGGGGACAAAGACGGCGGCGGCGAGCGTGTAGCGAGTGGAGAGGCAGCGGAGCAGTTGGTGGCGGGGAAAGAGATTGGATATAAAAAGCTTGAAAAACACTGGTTGGTTGGTAACTTTCGGGGGCAATTGCCAATTTCGCCCTCCAAAGTCCAAAGCAACGGAATAAGACAAGAGCTGTTGGGTAGGGGTGACCCACAAACCGACCCATCCGTCCAACTCGATCCAACTCATTCGTATTTATTGTTGAAATGAAGATTTTGGATTGGGTGAGGGTTTTTTTTTGTACAACCCGACTCTTTTGGGTTAGGTTTGGATTTTAGATTACACAACCCGTAGACCCCGACCCAACCCGTGTTCCAATTATTGGTATGAGTTCGTATCTAAAAAAAATATTTATGTCGTATATACCCATACTTATGAGAAAATTAAGATATTTTGTCATGTTTTTCTCTAATGGTCTCACTAAACTAATAACATATTATGGATGCGTTCGTTTATAACCATTTTACTTTTTAGCATATTTCAACAAATGTCGTGAAAAAACTAGACATTAGTTTAAGTAAACCAAATTTTATTAAAATTCAAATAAATTTTGTGAATTTTGATACCTTTCAGCTCGATTTATTCATTTGAATTTTTAATTAGTTATTAAATATTTTTATGATGTAGAATAATTACATATTGTGGCTTGGGTTAGATTTTTACTTAAGAATATTGTTAACCGGACCCAACTCAAATAAAATAAACCGTAGAGTTTGAATATTTTTTGGTAGGTTTGGATTTAACATTTTCCAAACCGTAATATATTGGGATAATTAAAATGCTTAAATCGGGACCATTTGACCCATATTACCATATACACCCGGGATATTGGCGTATATCCATCATGTAAAGCCCAAAAGGGATCGTGTATTTTTTCAGACAAAAAGGTTGTAGCTCAAGCCCATACTGATTCAGGTCGGTGCAACAGAGTGTCTGTTGGGCTTTTTATTCAAGTTCTGGGTTCTTCTACATCGGTCCACCGTTCTACTTTCTCCTCCTTTTCGGCACTCTCTCTAAGCGCTCCCTCTCTCTCTCTGCATATCTCGCCGCTCCGGTAAGGACAAAGGCGTTTGCCGTTTCCATTCCGACGAGATTGAGGGCAGAACAGGCTCTTTTAAGCAGGTTAGTCTCTTCATCTTCCTTTTGATTTCCACACGAAGTGTTCTTGTCTTCAAGTGCCTCATGTTAATGGAGTTTTTCTTGGATTCCTGTCAATTCGTCGTTGCTGTAGGGTTTCCCATCTTCCTCTTTTCTTTTTCTTTTTTTGTACCTTTTGTCCGGGCACCTCCTCGCTATCAGTGGTCTGTCTCTCTTCCGGGGATGATGAATTTATGTTAAATGTTGCATCTTAGCTCCCACTTGCTCGTCCACTGGGCGTATTGTTTGAAATTATGAAAGCAATGGCCTGCAACTGTGCGGTTGGTTAGACATAGGGGTTTATTGTGAATCATTTCAAGTAGTCGACTGATGCCAGGTCTCGTCTTATGCTAAGTTTACTTGGTGGCCGAGAGGAATCATGCTGTCAGTTATTAGGTCTGTCTGCTTTTGGATATGAGAATTTCATCTATGTTGGAGATTTAAGTTTCTGTGAAACAAAGCAATGTTCCTGACTATAATTAGGGTGTTTATGGATGTTTGCAGATTGACAAAAGCAAACAGCCATGGCCAAGCATCATCCTGATTTGATCATGTGCAGGAAGCAACCAGGCATCGCCATTGGACGACTCTGCGAGAAATGTGATGGCAAATGCGTGATCTGCGACTCCTACGTGCGCCCTTGCACGCTGGTGAGAGTCTGCGACGAGTGCAACTACGGATCGTTTCAGGGTCGCTGTGTCATCTGCGGAGGAGTAGGCATATCGGATGCGTACTACTGCAAAGAGTGCACGCAGCAGGAGAAAGACCGCGACGGCTGTCCCAAGATTGTGAATTTGGGTAGTGCGAAAACCGACTTGTTCTACGAGCGTAAGAAATATGGGTTCAAGAAAAGATAGTGAGCATCAGGATTGATAGGGTTTTTGGAATTTGATCTGATGGACCTTTCTTACACTGTACTGTAAGTTGTTACACTAGCAGTTGGTTGGCCGATTGCTGTTTCGTGTAGTAGTCTTAAATGGGACTAGATGTCCCTCTTCATTGTCTGTATGTGTGTCTTTATTAATGTGCAATGTAATCTTGAGGTGAGTTTGGGATTCTTGTTGCATTTTCTTTTCACTCTCTAAGATAGCTTGAGTTTTGAAGTACATGTTCTGGGTCACATAAGCTACAACTTTGAATGCAGTTGACCCGGGTGACGAGTCGGGCAGCAATTGTTGAATTTGATGTAGATGCTCTTGTGTTGTTTGTGTACAATTTCATTCCTATTGCCACTGCTTGGTAATATGCTTCACAATTTCATTCCATTCCATTCCTTCCGCCTACTTGAAGGCAATGCCGATGGAAGCTAGTCATGCAATTATTCTTAGATCATGGATATGTCATGAGCAAATAGAGAGCAGTCAGTCATGCAATCAAATCGCCTCTCGGTTAAAAGCTAGATAGCTAGTCAGTTGCGAAGAATTAATCAGGGAAGAAAAAACTTGCACCAATAACTTCCACTATTACTATCCAGAGTAAAACCAAATTGCTTTTTTGGAGCTTTGGCCAAATTGTTATTTCAGTTCCTACGTATTCTCACCTAGGATCAGACAGAACATTTGGTAGTTTTCGGGTAAGTAAACATATTAGATATAAACAAGAGATCATAATTTTTAGCATAAAATGTCTGGGTGGTGTAGTTGGTTATCACGTTAGTCTCACACACTAAAGGTCCCCAGTTCGAACCTGGGCTCAGACATTACATTTTTTTAGAGCTATTTTTTTTTTTTAACTTTTTCTCACCCTACGCGTTCGAAATTCAAGTTCCACACGTTGCTTAACTCGACAAAAACTCCAGAACCTTCGTCTCGTTAGAACAGCCGATGCAATAACCCAAATCTTCCTCGACCTGCCACAGCAATCCTCGGTTCTAAGCCAACGACCGCGTCAAAATTCAAGAGCCTAGGCTCGCTCCGTCGCCGATTCTTAGTTTGCTCGTAGCTGGGAATTCTTTTTCCTCGGCCGGCGACTGCATCGTAAGCGAAAAGCAAGCCACGGTCGATCGTCGTTCTCTACTTTTAGGCGTCGGGGTTTATTAATTTTAGCTGATCGGAGCTAGCTGTACCAAGGAAGACGGGACAGTACGATGGATTGGGGAAGTGTAACGGCCGATGATCTGATCGGAGCTCTAAGAGAAGTCGACTGGTCTTCTCCGCCTCGCCCTCTCAACGAATTCTTCTCCAAATTCAACATCACCCGATCTTACCCCAAGTGGAGCAGCCGCCTCAAATGCAATCTGTATTAGTGAGTGCTCTCTCCTTAACAACCCCAGGCCGGTTTCTTCGTTCCCGTCGATCGGATCGTTTTGCCCGTTTTCGCTATCCTGCTCTCAGATGCGCTTGAGAGAACTAAAATTGTTGAATTTCGGGATTGTTCTAGCCACTATTTACTGAATTAGGGCTTTTCCCTTTTGGCAGCTACAGGACGAACTACTTCATTTTGATTGTGCTCACTCTTGGTAAGAAATGGGGAAGAAACCCATTGGGCTTTAGCTTTTTGTACACGGTTTAGCTGAAAGTTTTACTAGGTTGCAGCTGACGTCCTATTTACTCGTGGTTCGTTTCAGGTGTTGCCTGTATCATGAGGCCTTTAGCAATAGTTGCTGCTGCTTTGACTGCTCTAAGCCTTGCTTTCCTAAACGATAGGTAAGTTTTGGCTTTTGTGAATGTTTTTGCATCATGGGAATGTTAGGAATCTTCTGTTCTTGCTGTTGGATCACCTGCCAATTAACAATGGTGGCCTAAATGGTTGAACTGAAAAGCCAGTGCCTAGCTCAAATAGGACTATAGTGGAACTTGTGATGGAAGTATAGTTAACTGGTTTTGTTACTGGAAATCAGTTAGTGGTCATTTCTCGAAGTATCTGCTAAAACCCTGCTGTTGTTAATCTGCTGCAGCGGACCTTATTGACTTATGCTCCACTGAAAATACTAGGCACAAGTCTGAAAAACTAGATGCAGCAGACTTGTGCCTAGAACGTAGGATTGTGAGTGCTTGATCAGTATTGGTTTGTCGACTTCATTTTTCTCTATAACCTTGGCAGCCTATTTTGTACCTTTCTTCCAGCCACTTACTGTAGATATGTAGCTTGAAGAACATTTGTAAGTCAGTTGTTTGTGATATACTAAAAGATAATCAGTGGGTTAGTATGAAAGCTGATTTTTCGTTTAGTGAAGGAATCTAACGTCTCTTATTCCTTTCAGTTTTCATTTCTTTTGTAGCTTTCTTCTGGCAACAAACTTCAGATATGTAACATAAAACATGTCATGCAATGTAGCTTTTTATAGTGTGCCAGAATAACCTGTCAGTTAGCTAGAAAGCTGAATTATGCTTCAAGGAAGAAATCTAACTGGATTCTGTTGCCCCTTCTTCCCTGAAGTTTGTTTTTTCTGTTTTGTTCGTTGCTATATATCCAATCCATCTTATTTGTGTGAACTTGTTTCTAAGTTGTTCTTTTACTAGGTTAACTTTGTGACCACGAAAAAATGGGAGTAGGAAATCATTGTGTTATCAGAAATTGCTTGTTTTCATATTTTTTGGTGAGGTGATAAATATTTGTGATGCAGCTTTGCAGTTACATTCAGTGAGAAGACGATGAGGACTGTGAGGAAGTTTTCTCCTCATTTGGCAGCAAAGATGAGGCCTCCTCACATGTATGTTGCTGATCCTGATGCGACCTTTCCTAATTTCACTTTCATGGGTGACTATTTGTAAAAAGATAACTAACTTGCCATGTTTAATGTAGGCCTGTCATCCGCGGCCGCCCATCATCCAAGAAGACGATGTACATCTGTGGTCAGCCTCGTGGAGTCTTCGTTTTCGTATTCACATCCGGTATATAATTAAGTTCCTTTGAAGTTGATGAAGCAGTGTTGTTTTTTTAAAATACTTTCTGAGTTATATTGGCTGATGAGATGCTCCCTGTTTTACAATCCTTCTTCGCAGTTAGTTTGATTTTGTGGTTTGCTTCAGGCAGCTTGTCCACTGTTCTGTGGGCACTCGTGATTGCTCTCCTTGGTAAGGCTCTCTAGACTCTAGTAGTGAGCCTCGTAGTAATTCCTTCAAGACATTGTGTGGGCTGATTGATGATTCCATTTCCATCCACAGCGACCATCATCCATGCGAGTGTCAGAACACCTAATCTCAAAGCAAGGCTCAACACGTTCAGGGAGGAGTTCCGCGAAGTCTGGCGCAACTACAGCGACCTGTGATTGGCCACGGCAACCGTGTGATGACATACGTCCATCACTGTACCTGCCATAATCCTCCACGGGCAACCCCTCACTGTCTCTGGAGATGTTTCTGCTAGTCGTCATTGAAATATGTTCGCTGAAGTTCGCACATCTCTTCTTAATGATCCACGGGCTGGGTAGCAGCTACCTACAGGGGAAAAAGGAAGGAAAAATATGATTGTGCTAGAGCTATGTTTTGTAAATTCTCGTCTAGGCCAGATAACAGGTCTCTGTGCAAGATGCGTTCTTGTTATTCTGTTCACTTTAGAACTTTTATGGAATGGCAGTACCTGGCGTCCAGATTGCTCAGTGTGTCTTTCATTTGCGGATCAGGCAGCATAAAGGGGTTTTCAATTTCTTCATTTCTAGCACTTTCCTTCTTCCTCAACTTATCTGTACCATATAAAATGTCCTTTAAATCAAGGTTTTACAAGTATTTGTAGGAAATTAAGGTACTTTGTTAATTGAGTGCTTAAGTTGTGATTCACAAAGAAGGGAAGCAGGGGTGGGCTACCCAACCACGTAAAACTGAGGCCCAAATTGCATCAGAAACACATAATTTGCAGTTTGGAAAAAAGTGAATATATTTATTTTTTTTACTGAAAATCTGCACATATTTGGTTTGATTAGAGCTATGGTTTGCAGTATGAAAACTGGGTAGCTTGTAGTTTGGTTTCTGGTATGTGATTAAGCTAACACAATTTATTAATACGATGCAAACACACCACTAATTAAGCCTAAAAAGCAACAACATAATTTTTTTTATAAGAAGATCTGTATTGAAAATTATGAAAGTTCAGAGACTACAATGTCATCTTTCGATAATTGAGGTATGAGAATGATAGGGGGCCGGTTGAACCAGATCTCTGATTCCTCCGGTGATATGATCCAAATCCGAAGAGAACCCTCGAACTCGGATTATATGACCAAAGTACGCAGCCGTCCTTTTTAAGGATTTTCGAAGCTTTTCTTGAATACGAAAAAATAAAGATAGATGCGGAATCAATCGGACAATCCCAACTCGTGACAAAGGGCAATTGGTATATTAAACCAATCGGACAGAATCAACTCGTGGAAAGGGGCAATTGATATAGGGTAGATGCTCGCCACAACTAGACGCGTTCTCTAGTTGATAAGAGACACGTACAATCTCCTGGAATCCTCGACATAAGTCTTGCACAAAAGAACTCGTTCACAATGAACTAGAACTCAACTTTGAATAATAACTTGAATAATGGGTATTGGGTACCAAATTCGTAGGTCTTGCACCCTCTATTTATAGAGGTTTCAAAAACATAAAAATAAACCTAAAAGGAATATGAAAACAAATTCGAAACTAATTAGTAAACATAATACTACTTAAACAAGGACTAGAACTACCTATTGAACTCTAAATAGCCAAAACAAATAATCAACAAATAATTCCAAATAGGTATCGTCGGCTGCACATGGACCTTCTTCTTTTCCGTAGCGGATACGGATCTCCTTCTCTCTGGTGGAATCAGCTTCCAGCAAATAACCACCATCCGTGTCTTTTTCTTGGTCTCACTTGTCTTCCAATCACCACGTGAGTGGCATTCCTTTGAATAATTTTGGCCACGAGAAATAAAGACCACACATCCAATTTGGCCAAGTAAACTACCTCATGTACGTCCCAAATTTAGTAGATGGATTAAGGTGCTTTTTCGATAGCCAGCACCTACTAATCAACGCGAAATTCATTTTATCCATCAAGAACGATCCTAATTGACCCTTATATCGTATAATCTGAATCTTCATTTTTGGACCACGGGAATTAAATATCGCGCCAGTCGATATCGCATCATCCGGTCGACATCGAATACGAGCCATCAGGTGTGCGCATTCATTCCCAACCCTCCCCCAGAACCTCCATCTCACATTTCCTTCTTCCTCAGCCAATTCCCTGATTTCATCGCAAATCCCACCAACCTCCCAAGCCGTTGAATCCCTTCTGTCCAGCTTCTGAACCAACGATTTGGAGTCCGTTTCCACAATCAGAGGCACAAAATGATGATTTTTAGCCAATCTCAAACCCTAGAGCTAGAGGAAAGCGAGTGCTTCTGCCGTCTCCGGTGGCCACTTCGTCCTCGTCCGATGCACCGCCGCCATCTGAAAGGTTCCATCACCATTCCTAATCACCATCCCAAAACCCTGTTCCCTCTTCCCCCAGCACTGTCGCATCTGTATTCATCTTGAACAAACCTTGGGGCGGTGGCTCCCAGACAGATCGAGTCGGCGATGGTTGAGGTTTTGCTCCTGGGGATTGCAACTGCCGATACTCTTCCAGGTAATTATGTGCTCTCATCACCACCTCCCACTCCTCTAGCTTATGATTATTGAATAGATGGTTGTTTCTCTCTTTCCAGAGAAACCATAGGGTAATCAGAACCATAGAAAGTTCCTCCTCAGTCGTTCCCTCAATTAGGTTGCATAGCCATTCCTCGCAATTCTTCCCTTCTCCCATTTGGAAGTACCTCGCCAGATAACTCGGTCTCCAGACTCTTCCCACCCAGTCACAATCCCTTGTAATGTGTTCTTGCGTCTCCACCAATCCGCAGAAAGGACATTCATCATGTGCCTCTGGGATTCATCTACTTAGATTTACCCCGTAGGAAGGATATTACTGCCCCATCTCCACACAAAAACTCGAACTTTAGGAGGTAGTTGGAGCATCCAGAGCTGTTTCCAATCAATGGGGACATAGCTCTCAATTTGATTGCTTAAATATCTTCTCCTCCATTCCTTATAACCAGGGCGAACGGAATACTTCCCAGTTTTCTCCTTGCCCCAAATTCGAACATCTGGCCTTGGTCTAAAGGGGAGTGGAATTTGTTTAATCCGGTCTTGATCTGTTGGTTGGAAATTTGCTTGCAAAAGATTGCTTTTCCAAGATCGAGTCTCCTGATCAATTAATTTCGACACACTTTCCATTATTCCCAATCCAGCAACCTGAGTTTGGATTTTGAAATCATCAGCTGATGGGATCCACCGATCCCCCCAAATTCGCACACTTTCCCCATCTCCTATCCTCCACCTTGTTCCCTCTCTGACCAAGCTTTGAGCTCGCATCAAGCTTCTCCAAATATAGCTTGGGTTAGAACCAACCTCAGCTTCCAGGATATCACAGTGTGGATAATACTTAGCCTTAAGTACACGTGCCACTAGGGTATTGGGATTTTGGAATAGATTTCATACCTGTCTCCCCAACAGAGCAATATTGAACCCATGAAGATTTCTAAAACCCATTCCACCCTCGTATTTAGGACGGCATAACTTCTCCCAACTCATCCAGTGTATCCTCTTCTCTTCCCTTTTCTTTCCCCACCAAAAGCTAGCAATCATGCTCTGGATTTCCTGAATAACTCCCTAAGGGATTAAAAACACCGACATAGCATAAAGTGTTTGAGCTTGAGCCACTGCCTTAATGAGGATTTCTTTAGTTGCATTAGAGAGAAGTTTCCCTTTCCAATGTTTAATATTGTTTAACACTCTATCAATAAGTTGAGAAAACACCGCTTTTTTTGCTATCCCAATCACAGTAGGTAGTCCTAGGTACTTGTCATGATACATGACAGTCTTCATTCCCAAGATCGCTGCCATCTCCTATCTATCTATATCAGACACATTTGTGCTAAAAGACAGTTCTGATTTGGCCAGACTGACTTGCTGCCCCGAAGCTTCCTCATAGATGCGTAGGATATCCCTCACCACCTCACCCTCTTCCTTCTTATTCTCAAAGAAAAATATTATATCGTCTGCAAAGAAAAGATGAGTGATCATAGGGCCATTACTACTCACCTTTATTCCACGTAATTTTCTCTCCTCCACTGCTTTTTTAGTTAAAGCAGGCAATCCTTCAGCACAAAGGAGAAACATGTAGGGGGAAATAGGGTCCCCTTCTCTTAAACCCCTTGTGGGTATTAGAGCTGTCTGATGTCCATTTATCAAAGCAGAGTAAGTCACAGTAGACACACACAGAATTATTAAATGGACCCAATCTTCATGAAACCCCAGTTTAAGCATAATCCCCTCTAGAAAAGCCCATTCTACCATGTCATGTGCCTTGGCTATATCCAATTTTGCTGCGACATACCCCTTCTTCCTTTGCTTCTTGTTTTTCATTGCATGGAAGCACTCAAATCCCACCATAATATTATCTGTAATGTTCCTTCCAGGAACAAAAGCACTTTGAGTCTCAGTTATCACATAATTTAGGATCCTTTTCAGCCTGTTTGCAAGCACTTTAGATAGAATTTTATATAGTACCTTGCATAGGGCAATAGGCCTGAATTCCTTGGGAGAACTTGGCTTCTGAGTCTTTGGATCATTGCCAGCAAATTGTGATTTAGTGTTAGGGGGATCTGGCCTGTTAGGAGAATACGTTGTAATTCCAGACAGACTGCATCCCAACCACTACCCAGTTCTTCTGGAAAAAGAGAGCTGACATCCCATCCGAGCTTGGTGCTTTGGTAGGTGCCATCATTTTTAGAGCTTCCCAGATTTCCTCCCTAGTGAAAGGAGCCAAAAGTTTCTGATTCATTCGTGGGGTAACTTTAGGCTCTACTGCTGTTGCTAGAACCTCTTCCATATTTTGAACTTGCCCTCTCTGGTATAGATTTGTCAGATACTGCCAGAAGCAGCTCATAACCTCTTCTTGACCTTTGAATTATGTTCCATTCTCATCCCTCAGTTCTTTAATTGTATTTCTCCTTTGTCTCTTTGAGGCTTTTCGATGGAAGAACCCCGTGTTCTTATCTCCCTCTTTTAACCAATCAGTTCGAGATCTTTGCCTCCATTTGATCTCTTCAAGATGCAGGACATCATTGAGTTCCTTCTCAAGTACTCTTCTTTGTAATAGAACTGCTTTGTTCTTTCTTTGCTTTGCAATCTTAGCCAAAGCCCGTTTGATCTTCTTTTTTCGAGCTTTAAGGCTACCAAAAGTCCTCTTACTCCACTCCAAAAGTGCTTTCTCACAGTCATTGATCCTATCTTCCAGAGTTTTGTCAGGATTTTTAACCCATTCTGCTTTAATAATGGCAGAACACTCTTCATGAGTCTGCCAATAAGATTCAAACTTAAAATGCCATCCCCACTTCACTTTCTCCTCCTATAGATTCAGCTCCACCTTTATCGGTAAATGATCAGAGACCCACCTATCCAGGTGATACACCCTGGTTTCAGGGAACCATTCTTTCCATGCTGAAATTGGCTAATGCCCTGTCAAACCTTTCCTCTAGGAAAGTTTCATCCACTCTCCCATTGTCCCAAATAAACATATTGCCATAATATCCAAGATCCTCTAACTGGCATTCATCAATCGTCGTTTGAAAGTCCTCCATGTTTTGAATACCTGGGGGTTGATTCCATTCTTCTCTTCATAGCTAATGACTTGATTAAAATCCCCACAGACCAGCCAGAGCATGTTTTGCTGTTCATTAAGTCTTCCGATCAAATCCCAAGTCAGTGGCTTGTTTCTTGTTCAGGCCATCCATACACTCCAGTTAATCGCCACTAGTTCCCTTCGGTTCCCTCAATAATCCAAGCATCAATGAAGTTCCTCGTTGAGTTTTTCACAGTCACATGTATATCCTTTTTCCAGAGGAGCAAGAGACCTCCTACTCTATCTCTAAATCCTACACCTTTCCTTTTGACCATCCAAGTTGTTTGATAGTGAAAATGACAACATAATTATTATACTGAATGGCTTAAGGCACGCTTATCGTCGGATTACCTGTAAAGTGAAAATGGCGCTCAAGTGCACAAGAAACGACAGTGGGAAAGTTCGTCACGCTCTACAAGGAGCGCGTGGCTGCCACCTACTTTCAGTCGGGTTAACTGCCAAACCGTTCTACTGGAAAAAGAACCCAGGCACCTGGCTCGCTCTCCGCTTCTCTCTGCTTGTCGTCCTCCACGGTCTTTCTTGCTTCGAGCCTAAGAAAAGCTGCTGCGCCCTGCCGCCTAGGGTTCCGTCGCAGAGCCCCAAAATATCTTCAATCTCCTCGGGAAGTACCCAATTCGGATTTGCATTTCAGCTTGTAATCTACAAATGGCTGTCCCTAAGTAATCTTGAGGAAGAACAGTAAATCCCTGGAGTGAAAACGCGGGTTGCGATTTGCTCGAAAATCTTTGCCCCGCTCTCGATCTCTTCCCACTTCGGGCCATGGAGGACGACTCCTTCACTAACCTCCCTACTAGCCACTTGCTTGGCTCGGTGCCCGTAAGTTTATAATTCGTATCTATTTCATTTATTCTAAGCTGGGATTGATTCGGACTTGTATTGGTAGTTTGTTCCTCTTCCTGGTGGTTGCAACAACGGAGTTCGATTGATTGCGCGAGGTAGCTAGGGCGAAAAGTCAATGGTGATTGGGCTTTTGTAGAGCGAAGTAACTAATGCTTGGGTTTTGCATTTTCTTTGTATTGCTCTGTGATATTGGATGTGTCTCCTCGTTGATCCTGCAATCTAATTTGAGATTCGTACAAAGGTTGCTGGGATTTAAGGGAAGTTGCCATTAATGGCTCACTGCCAGTTTCTGTGTTGTGGTGTTAGAACTTATAAGGATGCGGTTTTTGAGTAGTTGAACTAGTACTACAATTTTTTCCTTATCCTCAATGATCTGCATGCTAACTTTGTTACCTTGTTCTTCCAATTCTTTCTAGGCTGTGGTCACTGAAGAAAAGAGTCCCAAAAACTATGAAGGTATGAAGTTTTTATGAGCATTAGAAATTTTGTTACATTTGATCGTAATAGGGAACAATGACTTACAACCTTGCTGATTTGGAATGAAATGCAGTCCCTGAAGCAAGTATGCAGACGTTCCCTCCAGCTAGTAATGCACGTGGTGGCGGAGTAGGCAGCAGTAGCAGCAACAGGGGTTATCAGACCATGGAAGCTCCTACTGGTATGTTATCTAAGTAGTGTTACTTATCCATGTTAGTAAGATCATTTCCCCCTTCATCCAGTATTTTGCGGTTTATCTATGGTCTTCGTGACTTGTTACACCACTGTGATTGATTTTAGGAATGTTGGAGTAAGGTACTTTTTATAAGTTGGCCAGCCAAGCAATTTTTTTCATTAGCCTGAATGGCTCTGTTAGTAGATGATCCCATTGCTGATACACTACAGGATCACCTATACCTTCAGTTAATCTTTTGTTTGTTCCTCTAGTTAGAAGTGATGCACCTAGTGATTCGATATAAGCTGCTCATGTCATATGACATATGTAAGTTGGTTGTGACTTCAAACAAAATGGTCAATGGTGGGAAGTTTAAATTGATGCTCTCCTATGCGGGAGAGCTTCAAGGGTGTTGGTGTTCCGTGTTGCTTCGATTGCAAATAAGAAGATAAGAAAATTTATCCCATCTTGCCCATAGGGAAGCCTCGTTGTTCTTTTTACCTCCGAGCCGAATCTCTTGGCATTTAGTATTCAGTAAAGTCAGAGTTATGTCTGTCTGTCAAACACAGCTGAAATATTTTATTTTTATTGCATTAATAATAGAAATAACTAAATTGCATTCTTTGCTGAATTCACTTGAACTATAATACTGATATATATGTGCCTCATTTTGTAAACAACATGCAGATGGAGTTGAACAGCAAGGACCACCGACCACTTGGAAGGGGGTATTTAGTGTCTCATCATATGTACAATACTTCAATGTCGATACCGACATTGTTGTGAACAGATTGATGAGCTCTTTCTATCCTATAGGTGGGGATTTTTTCAGCAAGATCGACGCCAATCCAGACTTGTAAGTTCACCCTTCATTCATCTTCTTATCGTCCACTTCTCTATTTCTGAAACTAAAACCTTGACATACTTGAATATTGCCACTGGGACAGAACTAACCCAATATCATGTACCATTGACACAGAAATTTGCGCATCTCACTTCTCCTTAATGATCTGCTGATGAGGATAATATTTCCACTCACCAGTGTCAGTTTTTTCATTGTTGTAGATATGGACTAGTTTGGATAGCAACGACATTGGTGTTCCTGCTGTCTGCTCTAGGAAACTGTGCCACCTATCTCATTCTGAAACATGCAGACAGCAGTGCTTCCTGGAGCTTTGATGTTGGATATGTTAATGCCGCGGCAGTCTCGATCTATGGCTATGCGATCATTGTGCCTCTGGGATTTTACTTCTTGCTTCGGTATCTTGAATTGAGTGCAAGCCTGATACGGTTCTGGTGCATGTGGGGATACTCTCTCTTCATCTTTGTCCCATGTTCTGTAAGTACCCCGCCTGGTGTCAATCCACCATTGGTATTATTGTTTTCTCTTACAAAGTTTTACCTTATCATCTTGTGCATGCGGTACTGTAAATATTTGCAGGTGCTGCTGGTTATCCCAGTTGAGTTCCTGAGGTGGTTGATCATACTGGGTGCTGGAGTTGATTCAGCATGCTTCGTCACTGCAAACCTCAAGACATTTGTTGGAGGAGGCGATCTCAATATTGTCTTGGTTGCTTCGTTTCTACTGCAACTGGCACTGGCAATCTTCATCAAGGCTTGGTTTTTCCCCTGAGCAGGTAACCTCCCCCATGCATTACTAGTTTGCAAGTGATCGGTAGTTTGGGACTTCGAAGTTCGTTCGATTCATATTCTGTTGTGACGGGTAACTAGAATCATGCAGAGCTGTGCCATAAAATAGGAGTGATAGTTGAGTTTGTCCTCTTGGGGCTGACGAGTTGAACTGAAAAATATGGGGCTTGTATGCATAGTCTGCAGTAATTCTTAGGAGACGTTGGATAGGGAGACAAACCCAGATGAAAGCTTTTCTTTTCATTTTTTTTCTAGTCCACCCGAACGGATGTCTTTGTTGGAGTTTGAATATTGTGCACAAATCTGTAAATACACAAATCCCTCTATTTACCGTCTCCGATGGCTGCTTGCTTTTGTATGGTTGTACTTTACCATGATATAATCTGGTTGATAATCACACTACACTACTTTGCTGCTTCTATATACTGGATAATAGAAATGCAGACCATGGTGTTTGTCTTTGGATGTACACTATAGGGCTGAAGTCTAATTCTAAACCCGACACTTGGGGCTCGTTTGAAAGTTGGGATTCGAGAATTCGTCGTTTTTTTTTTTGTTTTAAAATGAAACACTATAGCAGAAATCATCCATTATAGACAATTGTTTCGCATCACCCTCCCAATCCCGAAACACCTCCTTGAAAGTGAAAATCTTGCCGCCTTGGACAGAAGGAGGAAGGAGGCTTGTGAACTGTGATAAACATTTATTAGGGTATGGCATTGGTGGAAAACACGTAAACGAATGAAGTATCACCATCAACGTCGACCAATTTTGCTTTCCAAATCTTGGCTAGTTTTTTTTGCAAGACAGTGAAGGGAGAGCTTATCTTGAATGGTAAAAAACACGTAAGCCACGTAGCTAGTAGGCGTTTTTGGGTTTGGGGTATATCCGAATAGAAATGTGTTATAGTCTTATAGAGACCGATTGGTTGATCTCATCATCGTGATCCAAAGTATCCAACCAAAATCCAATTCTTTGGAGTTGGAGCCTTCCTCCCTCGAGGCTTTGAGCTTGTGGCTTATCCCGTCGGCAGAAAGAAACAAATTAAAGGGCTAAGCTCCAAGGGAGGCATATGCATTCCGGTAATTATAGTTGAGATGAAGGGTGCAATGCTGAGAAAATAGGAATCCATCCATGCAAAGGCGGGGCTGTCAGAGTCAGACAGCCTAACCCACTCACTGTAGGAATGACAATTGGCAGGCAGGTCCGCGCTATACTATACTCGATCAAACAGTCTAAACTATCTATTAACTCTTCAATTTTTGTATTCTACGAGAAATTATTTTCAATCATTGTCGTTAATTCTTTAACGATTTCTTGTGTCATTTTATAACACATGTAGGGCTTGCAGAACATATATTGGACTTTAACGATTGAATTTATACGATAATAATATAGGCCAATAATTAGCACTAGTATTAATTAACAGATTTAAACGCATCAACATAAGTAATCAATTATACATTGTGAGTCCATCCTACAATATAGGAGTGGATCAACTAACAGACCTACCGGGGAAGTCCCATAATATTCGGAAGGCCTCCCGGCACATCCCATTGGTCGGGCCTGCTGGTCGGGATAGGTCCATCCATATGGTATCTACTATGTAATTTAAAGGGAAAATATTTTAAATATTTTTTCACTAAAAAAATCAAATAACAAATTATAACATGACAAATGTAGTTAGATTATACGAGAAAGTTGAAGTTTTTGCTTATTTACAATTTTATTTATATAACTAGAAATATAATAAGATAATAAAAGTAAAATCTTAAATAATTTGATTAAAATTACATATAATTTAGGCAAAAACCTATTAAGAGGAGGCTGTCCGAGGAGAGGGTCCATGCTTGCTCTGCCCAGCCTACGAGGCGAGTATTACCCACTTCAAAATAGATCAAATAGATCGTGTAAAGCTTATCAGTTCAAAATTGCCATCCTAACTATATGTGTTGTTTGTCAATGCCACATGTCCTCTCTTCTCCAACTGTGACCACTTGTTTTGTTTGGCTACTGAGAACTACTCTCTGCCTGCAATTCAAATAGCTGTCTGTACTGTGACCTCCCCTCCCATCCTCCCTTGTAAGAAATTGATCATTATTGATTCACGCTTTCCTCTTTTCAATCATTCATCTGATCTCCCAATCATATTGGATCTACAAATATAAAACTAGAACAATTTTCTAGTTTACTCGGCACAAAAAGTAAAATGTACCAATTTTCTATTTATCTGGACGCATTGTTTACGTGCTTCGTGCACAAATGTATTCTAATATGTCTTGATTTGAATGGATATACCAAGAACGAAGAGAAATTGTGCCTTTTTTTTAACATTGCATTCATTTGAGAGCAGAGCACTAGTCAGATCTCGAATCCTGCTTAGAAGTAAGCAACGGTTAATAGTGGCAAATGAAATAAAAAAAAAATTAAATCCCAAGTAATTTAAGAAATTACACGTAAATTGGTGATCAAGTCAAGGTGAGTACCCATACACTTAATTCTTTCCGAGTCTATAAGGCGGGTATTACTCGCTCGCTTCAAAACAGGTCAAACAGATCGTGTAAAATTGATCAATTCCGAGGCTTGCCCGTGCCACATGTCCTCTCTTCCCCAACTCCTGTGACCACCTTGTTTGGTTTGACAACCTTGACAACTACTCTCTACCTGCAATTCAAAAGACCGTGACCTCCCCTTCCCTTCCTTTCCCCTGAATGGAATTTGGTAACTGATTCACGTTTCACTCTCTTCAATCATTCATCCGATCTCCAAATCAGATTCGATCTACAATATAAAAAAACCAGAACAATTTGTTTCTTCTCGTATGAAGCCTGTAGCAACGACACACGTTAGCTAGCTAGGATGATAATAATAAGTAACGATAAAAACCCCAACGGAGGGCCGATATTTGTTTGAAGAATAAGTGGAAGAGATGCCTTCTGGCAGGCGACGCCAAAGGGAACAGAGAACACCTAAGGCAGCCGCTCAGCCGCAGGTGAAAGCGCGATGGACGGATCTGTGTTAGTTTAGGGCATCGGCGGCCGCTCCCGTCCAAAACCCAACCGGACGGTGGCGGCATCTCATTGGGCAACGTACCACGTGCTGACAAATATGCGCTGCCACTCTGCCAAATACATTTTTGTTTGGTTATGAAATGTACCATAATCAAAGTTCCTCCACTCATAAAATTGGTACATCGAGTTCCTCCACTCATTATTTTTTTTATTTATTTTTTTATCTAAGGGGTCATTTGGATTTTGGATCCAGGTTTTTAATTTGTGGGATTTTGGCTCAAATCACTGGTTAGGTTTTTAATTTGTGGAATTTGTGTGGGATTTCAAAATAGCTGATCACCATCAGCTATTTCATAATCCCACAATTGTGGGTTTCTGAAATCTCTAATATTTAAAATCTCTTATCATATAATTGCTTTCCAAATGAGTGATTTTAATAAAATCCCACATTATGTAGGATTGTGCCCAAATCCCACACCCAAAACCTGCATCCAAATGACCCCTAAAGGTAAATACCCGTCGGAAAGCTTGAGTTTTGTACAAAATTTACATCTGCCGCACAAATGTTTTTGAAATGATAATCATTCGCAAAGTTTTGTGTCTTTGTCGAAGGTTGATTGATAGGCTTGAGTTCTATACAAAATGACACTTGCGACTGAAATGTTTCGAAATGATAATCAATAATCGTCACAAAATTTAGTGTCTTTGTCGAATGTTGATTGGTGGCGGAGTGAGAAATATGAACGAGTGCTAAAATAACTACAACGTATGGGATGTGAATCAGGATCATTTGGGAGGGGCTAATGCATCGCCTACTAGTGTACTTTTAGAATTTGTTACAAGTTTTACATGTAAATTTACCAGTATTTGAAAGTTAATGGAAGTTATAACTTTCTCTGGGTTCAACGCGGCGTCACTGATCTTGATGCTTTCTGCAAAGGCTTTAACTTTGTCAGACATAATATTGTTTGTCAATCATGTTAATTACTTTTCTATGTGAAATCTTTACTTACTTTATAATCATAATCTACAAGTGATGTTAATTTTCCATTGAGAAATATAGGATTTGCAATGCGATTATGTCATTTTTCATGAAAAATCATCCGCAAAATTTGTTTGTCTCATAATTTTATCAAATTTGATACCCAATTAAGCCTTAAAACTACACAAGTATAAACACATAAAAAAAATCATATTGTCAATGTCATTTCGAAAACCTCACAAAATAATTCATCTTTCCAAAGTTTAGGACTTGTTTTGGTATTAACTATTAACCCTAATTTCAATTAAGTCTCTCCCTCCCCACGTGTCCAGCCTTTCCATCTCTCCACCTTTTGATTTCTTTAAGCCAGCCATCCAGGGTTTTTTGTATTTCACTCTTTTTCTTTTGACTCCTTGCACTCTATCTCATGCGCTGCTGTCCCATTTCTTGACTTTTATTTTTGCCGCAATTGTTTTTCTGAGTTTCGTTTTCACGGGGAATGCTCAACCAGTCCCCTCCATAAAAACCCCAATCGGATCCGCATCTCTTCTCCGCATCTCCAAACCATCTCCCTCCAATCCCACCCACCCATTTTTCTCTCTCTCTCTCTCTCTCTCGAGTCGCGGCGTCACTCCCCCTACTGACTGCCACCATGATGAACGGCGGCGCCGCCGAGACCCCTCGGACATTTGTGAAGGAAGTGAAGCGTATCGTCATCAAAGTTCGCCTCTTTTCCTCTTTATGATTATGTTTCCTTCCTACCCTTTTAGGGATAACAATGGCTGAAATCAATTTTGACCTCGTTTTGACCCTTTATTTCTGTTGGGTTTGATTGTCATTGCAGGTTGGGACTGCTGTTGTCACAAGAGGTGATGGAAGATTGGCACTTGGAAGATTGGGAGCGCTCTGCGAGCAGGTTGTTAATCGTTTTTTTCTCTCCTCTTTCTGGGTTTTATTTTTATTGTTTGTCATATTTTTTTTTTCCTGTGAAAAGACGCCTTTATAAATATGAAAAATGGTGGGCGCAGATTAAAGAGCTGAATTACCAGCATTATGAAGTCATTGTTGTTACCTCTGGTGCTGTTGGCCTTGGCCGCCAAAGGCTGAAATACCGCCAGTTGGTCAATAGCAGGTACTTCCCTCACTTCCCATTTTTCTATTCTAAGATGCATTTCTTGGGCCCATCTGTTTTTTTTTTTCACTTGGAGTGGTAAATCTGTTAACGGGGTAAATAAATTATCTTTCGCGCTGTTATAGTTCTAAATATAGGACTATTTGGTTAGATTGGGAGATACTGATTTGATTTGTGTTTGTGGTGTTGTAGTTTTGCTGATCTCCAAAAGCCACAAGATGGTCTCGATGGTAAAGCTTGTGCTGCTGTTGGGCAGAACTGTATCATGGCCCTTTATGACACACTGTTTAGTCAGGTGATTCATAGAATTTAGTCTTGTTACCATTATGCTGGAGTTTTATTCAAATATATTTACATTTTTGGTTCTGTTCATCATCCTTGTGCTCTGTTAATTTGGGGTGTCTAATGAACTACATCTTGTCTTGTGCAGTTGGATGTGACATCTGCTCAACTTCTCGTGACTGATTCAGACTTTAGGGATAAAGAATTCAGGAAGCAACTTAAGCATACTATAGAGTCGCTGATGTCGCTAAGGGTTGTTCCCATAATCAACGAAAATGATGCTGTTAGTACTAGGCGAGCACCATACGAGGCATGTCACTTTGTCTTGGTTCTCCTTCTGGTTTTCTCACCTCAGAGCATTATAAAGTCTTAAACTTTGTTTTTTTTTTTTTCATCCTTGGTAAAGGTCAATACATTGGTTTTGGTTTACAGCCAAATTGGGCAAGATTAAATAACTATTTTCCATATGTTGATTTTGATTATCTATGCACCTCCCTCTTGACCCGCCTTTTCTTCCTGGTCTTTGTAAACAGCATAATAGTCTATTCTACAGGATTCTTCTCACCTCAATTGATAGTTCTGACCCGTGGGAACTTACTTCTACAGGATTCTTCTGGTATATTTTGGGATAATGATAGCTTGGCAGCTTTGTTAGCACTGGAGCTGAACGCTGATCTTCTTGTTCTGCTGAGCGATGTGGAGGGTCTTTACAGTGGTCCACCCAGTGATCCAGAGTCGAAGTTGATTCGTACATACATTGAGAGAGTTCATCTGGGTGGAATCACATTTGGAGACAAGTCCAGGCTGGGAAGAGGGGGCATGACAGCCAAAGTAAAAGCTGCTGTAATGGCGGCTAAGGCAGGTGTCCCTGTCATTATAACCAGGTATTCTTCCGTGCTATATAGGATCTGTGCTTCTATTTTGGAAAAGCTAACTCTAGATGTAGTGTTTCTTTCATGATTTTGTTGCCGATCCCCCGTGTAAGATATTATCTTGTACTGTCCATCGATGTATAATAATCTTTGAGCTGGCTCCTTTTAAAGCGGATTTGATCCTGAGAGCATACTGAAAGTCCTCCAAGGAGATGATGTTGGCACTCTCTTTCACCGTGATGCTCATTTGTGGGTCAAAACCAAAGAAACAGGTGCTCGAGACATGGCGGTTGCAGCAAGGGAATGTTCTAGAAGGCTGCAGGTTCTGTGGATTATCCCATCTCTTTGCACTGTTAAAGGAAGCTTTTGATTTTGTTTGTGCAATTGATTTATAATTCTACCTTGCCCTAACTTTATAGCATTCCTCGGTTTGTGCCCTCTTCTACAGGCACTATCTTCAGAAGATAGGAAAAAGATTTTGCTGGACATAGCAAATGCTCTAGAAGCCAATGAAAAAGTAATCAAGGTTGAAAATGAGGCAGATGTTGCTGCTGCTGAACAGGCTGGAATGGAGAAGTCCTTGATAGCACGGCTGGCTCTAAAGCCTGGCAAGGCAAGACAATGCTGTGCTGCATAGACTTGGATTTACATACTGCCTGTTTATCACTTTATGTTCTTGACCTTGTCTGGACCATTTTTCTATCTTTATGAATTTCTCATCCTTTTTTATGCTTACTTTCCAGATTACAAGTCTTTCAAAATCATTACGTGTCCTTGCGAGCATGGAAGATCCAGTCGGTCACGTTTTAAAGACGACCGAGGTAAGGATATATCTTTCTTCTCCTAGTGCTGCGTTGAACTTGTTATGATTTCAACTCTAGTAACACAACCTTATATATGCGCTACTTTATTTTCTGGCTGAAATTGTGATGATTTAAGCCTGCACTATTAGTTAGGGCAGAAAGAGTGGGAAAATTAGAGTAATAAATGCACATTTTAAAAAACAAACAGCCCCTCGTCAATGGGAAGTTGTCTGATTACGTCCACCTGACCTAAGTACTGAAATTGTTTGGATGGCCTTAAAAATGATGTTTGGGGGTCAGGAACAATCGGTATTAGTCTTATATTTGTTTTGCTATGTTACCAAATGTTTTGTGTTGGTAGGTGTTACTCAATACTGTTTTATGGTTCCAGCTTGCAGATGGTCTTGTGTTAGAGAAGACATCATCTCCTCTCGGTGTTCTGCTAATTGTTTTTGAGGCTCGGCCTGATGCACTAGTGCAGGTGGGTTATATTATAGTATGGTCAGCAACCTTCGTGCTCGCCCTAAAATAAAATCTGTGTCATTTGTTTTAAGTTTGCTGTATTCTTTTAAATAGATTGCTTCATTGGCGATCCGCAGTGGAAATGGTCTCCTACTCAAAGGGGGAAAGGAGGCCAGGCGATCAAATGCAATTTTGCACAAGGTCTGCTTCTTTGCTCCCTGAAGTTTGAACATTAATTATTTAGCCTACGTATTTACTCTTCCCCTTATAATTTGTTTTAAACAAAATATATATATATATATATATACAGGTGATCACTGATGCCATTCCAGACCATGTTGGGAGAAGGCTTATTGGACTGGTGACCTCAAGAGATGAAATTCCTGACCTACTTAAGGTGGATAGTTGTTAGAACTATGATGCAATGTATGCGATGACCCTGTTTCATAAAACTTGGAAAGAGAGTTTTGACTGATGTGTTGCCTTTTCCCCCCTTAAATCAGCTCGATGATGTAATCGATCTTGTCATTCCTAGGGGCAGCAATAAACTGGTTTCGACTATCAAAGCATCAACCAAGATCCCTGTTCTGGGTCATGCAGGTAATAAATAACATTATTTTCATTTGTCGGTCTGTTGACGCAGCCAAATATGGAAGTCACATGTGTTGTGCTGCTAAACAGATGGAGTCTGTCATGTATATGTTGACAAGTCTGCTAATATGCAAACGGCCAAGCGTATTGTAGTGGATGCAAAAGTGGATTATCCAGCAGCCTGTAATGCAATGGTATAATAGCTGACTTACTCTCATCTCCTTAACTTGGTCCCCATTTCACGTGCTTTTCTTGTTCACGAATTACGAACCTAAACCTGTTTTGCTTTTACTTTACAATGTCCAGGAAACACTTCTAGTGCATAAGGATTTAGTGTCCTCTGGTGGCCTGAATGAGCTAGCACTTGAACTTCGGAATGAAGGTACTGATGGAATACTGTTTACAACCTCTTCTGGGTTTTAGGTCTTCCTGTAAGTTATAGTCATTACACCTATTCATTGCGAGATGTTTCTGTAATTCAGGTGTGGTTCTGCATGGTGGGCCAAGGGCAAGCGAGGAGCTGAGCATCCCAGAGCCGGCATCATTACATCATGAGTACAGTTCCCTTGCATGTACTGTTGAGATTGTTGACGATGTGCATGCTGCCATCAATTACATACATGGACACGGAAGGCAAGATTTTAATTGATTTTGTGTATACAAGCTCTTCTGACATTTCATACCGAATTTGTCTGCTGATGTTTGCTCGTCTTGTTGACAGTGCCCATACTGATTGCATCATATCAGAAGACCGTGAAGTTGCAGAGACCTTTTTGAAACAAGTTGACAGGTAACTAGCCCACATAGACAATATTATGGTTTTGTCTCAAATCATTGTTGCTTCAGTTTTATAATCATTGACATTGCAATGCCGGTTCTTCTTTTTACCCAATGCAGTGCTGCTGTTTTCCACAATGCCAGCACAAGGTTCTGTGATGGAGCTCGGTTTGGACTTGGGGCAGAGGTCAATAACTCAAATGTCAATCTTGTATATGCATCTTTAACTAAGATTGCGTTATGCTTATTACTGGATTTTTCTTGATGGATGGGGTAAACAGGTTGGAATCAGTACGAGTAGAATCCATGCTCGAGGCCCTGTAGGAGTCGAAGGATTGTTAACAACCCGATGGTAATACCCGACACTCCAATCTCCTTTCATCCCCTGCCCACATGTTTCATTCCATTTTTAGTTTTCCTGGAAAGGAAGTTCCTTTTTATGCAGAACAAAGAAGGACCCTTTTCTTTTCCTGAACAAGCTGCCCTATTGCTCTACGTTGCATTTGCAGGTTACTGAGAGGCAGTGGACAAATAGTAGATGGTGATAAGGGTGTAACCTACACCCACAAGGACTTAACTACTGTATAGCTTTCCAAGCATCATCACCAGAGGAAGAAGATTGAGCACTTTGCTTGCCATCTTAGCTGCGGGTTTAATAAAACATATCATCATCATCATTAGGGGGTGTTTATTATTATTGTTAGGGTGCCCTGTAATCTCTGCCATGACCTTATGTTACTGAATAAGTTCTCCATTCTCTTCTAAGTTCCTATTGTTGGAAGCGTTAAGTTATTGTGGCGAAAGATTTAAGTTATGTGGGGCCTCTTCCGATCCATGACCAGTTTGTAGGCTGGCCAGATTTGGGAACGTGGAGTTTGGGATCTTTTGAGTGTCTCTTTTGGCCCCCCACACTAGTAGTTAGGAAAGCTCATTGTAATGCAGTTGGATATTTTAAGGTTTTAACATTTTCTGTTGTCATCTCTTTCTTAAGCTGTAGGTTTCTTCTGTTAGGGCTGATAATGAGGTTAAATAAAGACTTGTCATATGTGATATGCGTTTGTTTAAGTTCTGAGCCTGGTGGGTTTCTAACAAAGCATTTTTCTAATTGATATTGCTTAGAATGGGATCGGTACAGAAGTGTTGCAGAAGATATTAAGAAATGTACAAGAGATCATAAACAGAGTATCTAGGAAAATCTGATAAGAAGCTATACATGATCAACCTAAGGCTTGCCACTACTCACTAGTTCAAGTGGGTCCTTTCGAACCCAAAATTAAAAGTTACATGATGGATCTACTTTTGGATGTCCAAGATGAGTGACAATTGAAATAGCAATTAGTGGAGCGGAAATAAGATGTTAGGTATGACCAAAAATCGTGCACAATCGAGCACTTCATTACTGAGTTGTTTTTATTGTCTTGGTGCATCTTCCTTTTTCCCCATGAAAGATTCAAGGGAGCAAACAAGTTTACAACAGTGGTGCAATTAAATCATCAATAGTAATTCACTCCACTGGTAAACAGTCATTACGAGCAGAACAAACTATATGAGTTCATTTTCGTTTGAAATGCGAATTATCAATAGCCTTCTCAGATCCTACAACTACTTTTGGCAACAAAGCAAATGCAACATTAAAACAGAAAACATTAGCAGAAGAACAAAACAATTGTGACGACAACCTTAAAACCTCCCAAGTCCTAAATCATAACCCATTTTATTAATAATCAATTTGTCCTTCATGGATACTCCCAAAACAAAAGCCACAACGTTACCCAGTCACATTTTGTCCGAGGTTAATATTATAGATCTGATAATTCAAACAAAAGTCTCTTAATCAGATTCTCCTATATCAATAAATCGGATACCAAAGAAGAAATCAACAACGTAAAGCTCTTTGAAACATAGAACCTTAGATTCCTCAATATAGTATGTGTTCACCAAATGGCAAAAAGACGGTTTTGCTAGTAGAAGCAGCATAAGCAGAGTACACACTCCGAGCCAAAGTTCCTACTTATACACCAAAGCCACCTATGAAGTAACCTGATATAACATCTGGTTACATGTGAAAAAACTATTACTGTTGATGACTGATGACAGCATCTCAACTTTGTATTCAGAAACCTACAGGGTGTTGAACACGAGATTTCTTCAATCAACGAGATCGAAGAAATGATTTTGAGAAACTCTCACGCCTCCACGAATGTCTTGAGTTCGTTCAACCAGCCCAAATACTCTTTACTGTCTTTGTTGATCATGTACTCGTGGAGGAAATTGGTTGTGCTGGGCTTGATTCCGCGTATCTCCAAATACTTGTGGAAAGCATTCTTCAGATTCTCATCCAAATCACTGTAGAGCAAACCACATGTATTAATAAACCACTCACACCCTGAAGGGTTAAAATAAGTTCATTGACTAAAACAGCATAAGAAAACAGCAGGTCGTAGGCTTACTGGAAGTTTGGTCCTTCATACGCCATTTCTTCAGAATCTTTTTCCGGTTTCTTGACCGACAAGCTGTCAATTGCAATCTCATCTGCAAAAGCAACACAGCTGAACTCCAAAGAGATTCCACTCTTCTTGGTAACAGTGACAACCAAAGGGAGGCTAGACTGAGTTGGCCTCTCGGTATCGTCATCATCGTCATCTCGAACATCATTCTCTTCACCGGTGACAAGATCAGGCATGTGCACCTCAACTTTCATATGTTCACCATCGTACTGTCTTGTCAGTATTAGTGTCTGTTGACCCAGGTTATCCTCAATCTTGAAAGGGAAACCTTCTGGAACATCCTCAACCTACAAAGTGCATTAGGAAACTGATTTTGAGTATAGGCCAAAACGAACATTGAATACCGCCTCAGTCAAGCACAGTATCTAGCAGTCCAAGTTACAGGGACTGGAAATAGAGCAACCCTAACTAAATCACTAGTTAGCATAACTAACTTAAATTGATGAATCTCATTTAACCACACAGAACTACTAGAACCAAGAACAGCTGACAAGTGACAAGTTCAGCTCTGTACAGCAACTGTGGGATTTGGCTCCACCATCAAGGCACACTTCCATTTCACCATAATGTCTCCACTCTACTGTAGCACTAGGGTATGCAATATGTTATGACTGACTTCCTGTTTCCTCTACAAAGTTGGAGCTTTTACACCTTCAGCCATCTTAAAGTCGGAAACTTTACACTTAGTCACGAAGACTCGAACATACCGGAAGCCAATTTGTTTGTTTCCAGGCTGATGAAGTACAAAAACGCCATCCAAACCAAAACGAAAGAGCCAAACGATGAAATCAACCCAAAAAGTGGGGAATAAACAAAATCTCACTTACCCGATCGTGATCATCAGTCTCCTGAGCTGCCTTAATTTCATCCTCGACAATTCGAAGAAGCGACTCAGCGGCAGCGGGCTTTTTGCTCACAACAGCTGTAGAATAGCCGCATAAATAAGACCCAGCAGGGTGTCCTCTCCCGCAGAGACAGCCACGGCGACGGCCTGCGGCGGTGAGGATTGCCGAACCAAAGCTCCGGCGAGCCTCAACACGACCAATAGCTCGACCGACGAGTGGGGCCAAAGATGCCGATTTCCGTATCACTGCTCTGAACGCCATTCTCTGTTCTTCTTTCTACCTCAGGGTTTTAGGGAGAGAGACTGATTTTGGGGACGAACGGGGAATTGGCAGGAGTTTTAGGGTTTAAGGATCCGGGCTGAATTTCTCGGCCCAATTAAGGTGCGGTCCGGAATCTCCGGATACTCACAAACCCTTCTTGACTGGGCCTTAGGCCCACTTAAATAAAGTCAGCCCAACACTGAATTTTCCCGTTCATAAAAAAAAAAAAAAAAGACAATAAAGAACCTACAAAAGTTGAAACAGAAGTCAGAAAAGCAAGAAGTGAGAACCGGCGAAGCTCTGTCAGAGCCATCACAAGCAATTATAAAATCGTTCTGTGTCTTTTTTCTGTTATTTTTACATTTGATTTGAAGTGTCCAAACTCCAAATTGGTTGATTAAATTCCTTCGATTCAATAAAAAAAAAGCCGATAACGTCAGATTTCTGGGAGTGGAAGAAAGGAAAGAACATTCTTCCATTAAGTGCTGCATCAAGAAGATCTCCACCATCAGCTCGGAGGCAGACAGAAAATTTCCTTTCTTCTGTCCATGGAGCTTATAAGAATGCTATGAGGGATTCTCGATTTCTCCAAGTTGGGTTCATTTCCGGCGAGCTTCTGTGAAAAAGGGGTCTTGGGTTCGAGGAGGAGCGGGGGGAGAAGTGTAAATTTCGTAGCCGTGGGGGGACTGATGAAGGAATTGTTTGGAAGTCCAGGGAGGGCGAGTGGTTTGGGACTGAGGGTTGGGCAGTTTGTGTTTGCAGCTGCTTCGATTGGGGTTATGGTTTCTGCCCATGGCTTCTTCAACTCTACTGCTTTCTGGTAAAATTTCCCCCTTTTCTCGCTTTGTTCTATTCGTTTTGGATTTCTTGTATAGAGCCGAATTTGGTGTGGTTGCATGGGTTTGAGCTGTTGGGTGGTCATTGATTGTTTGTGTTCTGTTGGTGGTTGTGAGATAGTTTGGAATCTGATTATGGTTAAGCTTTCACTTGTCAATGGTCCGTTTCTGGTTAGTAATTGGGTTATTGGCTTATTCTGGTGTGAATTCTGTATCTGGGAAGAGATGGGGTCCATTCAAACAAGGGTTTACCTTAATGAAGCTACGGTTTTGTTAGGGAATTGATCTTCCAGGGAGGGCTTTATAAAGTTTCAGAGAGAACTGTGGGATTAGTTTGAAAGATGGTGTTGTGATTGTGATTGCATTTGAGAGAGAACTGAATACAGTAGATCTGCGATTAGTGGTTGGAACTATTTGGATTGGTTATAAAAGTGGTTATGTTGTAGTGAATTGCTGTGATTGTACCATCAATATTGTGAGTAATGAGCTCAGGCTCTCTTGGCGTTGAATCAATAGTAGAAATTTTGTTAATCAATGTGATCACTGAGAGACTGCGGCTTGATTTTTTTTAAGTAACAGGTTACTTCTTAGGTCCTCTCCCTGATTGCTTACTGATCCTGATTTCTCTATCTTTCTTTAGTTTTTACATTGCTGGTTTTGATTTCTGATTGATGGTGCTTCTTGGGTTGATTTTCACCAGCCATGACTCATCTGGTTAACAGAATGTTGGACAGTGAAAGCCCTAACATTATTCTTGAAAGGCCATCTCTCTTCGTGTTGAATTTCCTCTTTCTAGTGTTGCTTTGATACCAAAATCAGAGAGTCGTGTACCATAACTATGGTGAACACTGAATTTTAGCACTTTCATGCTAAACTGGAAGATAAGAACAGAGTGCGCTTGCAATATGCTGTCGCCTGCAGAAGTGAGCAGGCTCAAATTATTAGAAGTGTTGCAAAACTGTGCTCAGCTTGTTGAAAGTGTTGTAAACCATAAGGGTTTCGCCTGTGAATGTTTTTGTGCACATTTGTCTCACTAGCTTAGTTGGATGTGACTTCTAACTTCCTTGATTCCCAGTTAACTTCTTGAATAGCTCTAGAGCTATGATTACTGGGTTCTCTTGTGGACTTCTGTAAAGGAAGATGGAAGTAGAGTTGAACTGAAAGATTATATTATGACGTTTTAGAAGAGCTGCCATATTTACATTTTTTTTTACTCAGTTCCTTGATGTATGATATATATATATGTTGCCCAAATTTTTCAGCTATCTAATTGCATCTATGGGGCTTCAAGTTCTATGGAGTTTTGGACTTGCATGCCTTGATCTACATGCACTGAAATCAAAGAGAAGCCTGCAGAATCCTGTCTTAGTGAGCCTATTTGTTGTCGGTGATTGGGTAAATGCCTAACATTACTTCAAGTGATCATTTTCAATTTCTATATAGGATCACAAAAGTCTTCAAACATGTAGTTGATAACTATCTTCTTCTCTAGTCTTTGCTTCAAGCTTCCTGGCATACTTGAATGCAAAGACTAAGAATCTTTTTCAGCTTCATGCACTCTTCTCCTAAGTATATCTATGGAAATGGGTAGATGGTTCAGCCATCATATTTGCACATAATTGTTCATTTCTCATTTCTTCTTAGGTCGAGCTTCATAACCCAGCATCATTTTCCTGAATTTTTGCAGGTGACATCTATCCTGTCACTTGCAGCAGCATCGGCATCAGCAGGAGTCACAATTTTGTACGCTCGAGACCTGCACTACTGCAATGCCACACCTCACTTCCCATGCAAAAGGTTCCAAATCTCCATTGCCTTGGCTTTCATCTCCTGGTTCCTCCTTGCAGTGTCGTCCCATGTCATGTTCTGGCTCATGGCGTCTGTATGAAGTTTAAAAATTCATAAAAGTGTGATTCATTTTGTAGCTGTAAATACAAGTTACTCTGAGCAGCAGAGAATCCATCCCCGCTTCCCTCTCTTCTTTGTTCACTCACCTCTCCTTTTTCAGGCCTTACAGCTTGTGTTCATCACCATGAAAAGTCGTCCTGGAAAACCCCGTCCCGTTACTGTCTGTCTATCTCTCAATTGCATCAACTCTTAATGTATGCGAAGTTTGAGGCTGAGCAGGAATCGGCAAATATTGATTGGTTTCAAATTCATATGATAACATAGGACTTGAATGGGGGTTGGTTTCTGATATAGCAACCTATCAAGTCTCGGATAGATAAGCAGACACTACCCAGAAGTAGCTTCACCAAAGAATCCTCAATGAACCATCCCTTTTGGGAACTACTCTTTTATGAAAGCAACAGCTCCAACTTCCAACTACTTCTCTGATGATGAGAAGGTGGGGAGTGAACGGCCAGCTTTTAGAAAGGGAACTCTTACCTTGAGAGTTGAGAGAACAGGTCCAATGGTCCAGCAACTACCAGTCACTTTCTGCAAAACTCATTAATGCTCAACTGGGTTTGCTTCGTTTGGCGTTGACATAATAACACAACTCGTAGTTATATAAAATTTAGAGATGCCGGTAAGTGTGGGAATGACTGCAGATTGGAGACCCACTTTGCCCCTTATTCAATCAATGAGGGGAGTCATGTGGGGTGCTACAATCAGTATGACAGGTAATAATTTAGAAAATCATTTCCCACTTGCTTTTCTGGTAAACTGCAATACACTCAGAGAGAGAGAGAAAAGGACCACTGCAGAAGTGCAAATTAAATGAATCCAAATAAGCAACCACTAAGAGACAGCACAAAAAGTTGCATCATACCCTACTACTCCTCAATCATGTATTCTGCTGTGACCCTACTGAAAATGGCCTTGTTGTTTTTTGCTTCATTCTTCTATCGAGATGCCCTTATCCAAATTCCTTTTCGTAGGGAGAAGCTTCCCACAGATTCCAGTGTGTCCTCTTCTTTCCCTCATTCATAAACTCTCAGCAAACTCATAACTCTTCACCAGCAAACTGGCGTCTTTAAACGTTCTGGGTATTCATGGTGGTTGTTATCCTGCAGTTTGATTTCCTTCAAGTTTTAAAGATTAATCAGACATCTTATGATTGAATAAAAATTAATCAAGATCCAATTTTACTTGAGTATAAAACCAGCACTCTGACAAAGTGACTGCCCACTTTTGACCTGCATGTGAGTCCAAATTGGATTCTGTCACAAACTTGGCCTAAATCTTGGTGCATTCAACAGCCTGGAAATGGATGTTACCAACTAATGTGCAGATGCCATATCGAGCAAGTTGCTTCAAATCTGTAGAAAGAGCAAAAATGAACTTCCTTATAACAGGATTCATCGCATGTCAGTGTGGTTTTATTCCACATAATGTGCAGATGCTAAATGGGGTACCTTGTGCAGAAAGAAAGAGACATGGAAGCTATAGGACCTGTTAGCGAGAGAGACGGGGGAAAAGAAAAGTTAACGAGGGGGTTCATACATTCATACCTTCATACAAATAATTGAAGCCACCGACAGTTAATTTCACTTTCATACATTCATACAGAGGGTTCTGCAGAACTTGAGAAACAGAAAACCACTAAATCAGTATTAAACTATACCAAAAATGTATTTAGTAATAAATTCATCTCGTTAGGAAGCTCAAGCCAGTGACATAATAAGCATGCCAGTAGAATTGAATATGTAGATAAGAGCAAGAAAAAAGAAACTAATGTTTGCCACCAAACTGAGGATCTTGAATTTATTTCTATCCACATTCCATCCCACTGCTACAAATTTGCTCACACCAAGATTTATATCACATTTCTATTTGGCAATAAAAACAAAAATGACAACTCACAACAGACTGACTTTTACACTTCTCCATGGGAGAAAGGCCAATTGATATTGAAACCCAAATGAGAAAAAAAAGGGGAAAATGGGAGAAACAGGCAAATTTCTTTCCAGTTGAACTGGAAGAACTCCCCTTCCACCTCAGACCCGTCCCTAGTGAACATACATTGATTCTACACCTCCCCCCAAAACCATGAATTCCATTCTTCACTACTACCTTTCTTTGGTGTGTCACATGACTCACATCACTATCTCCGGCTTCAAAATGCTGGACTTGATCTCCTTGTGCGGCAGGACAACACCCCCATTGCTGTAAATCTCGTCGCACACATGCACATCCTCCCCCAAGATTGTCATGTTCTCAACCCGAGCCCACTGGCCAACAGTCGAGTGCCAGCCAATGATGCTACTGGAAATGCAGGCATGCTTCTTGATGCGCACCCCACGCATCACGGTGCAACGAGACAGTCTAACCCCAGCTTCGACCACGCATCCCGGTCCAATCGCGACATCAGGACCGATCAAACACCCTTCCCCTATTGTCGCAGTCTCGTCCACCAACACATTGCCGACTATGTGGGAGCCAGTGGCCAACTTGGTCGAGGATTTCTTCCTTAGTGATTCTAGATAGAGTCTGAGCCCTGTGATGTAGTCTCTCGGCTGCCCGATGTCCATCCAGAACCCTGGCAGGACCATGGCAAAGAGCTTCTTGTCTGCAGCTATCTTGGGGAAGACTTCCTTCTCAATCGAGGTGGGCCTCAGCTGGATCCGGTCCAGAACTGATGGGTTCAAGAGGTAGATTCCAGCATTGATTTTGTTGCCAACGAATATCTTTGGCTTTTCCACGAATTTGTCGACATGCCCTGTGGCTTCATCCATGACCACTACCCCGTATTTTGATGGCTCATCAACCTGCAATGATCAACACAATGAATGTTACTGTCAACAATTGTACTGTGGTTTCAGAATGTAAGTCCTACGTGAAATGGAATCAAGTAGAGTGAAATTGACTGATACCTTGGTGACCATAATAGAAGCCTCTCCTCCATGGGATTTGTGGAATGCTATCATTTCCTTAAGAGGGTACTCGCTGATAACATCACTGTTGAGTACAAAGAATGGCTCGCCGGATTTATCCACTAGCTTGTCCCTAGCAAGAGCCAGAGGGCCAGCAGTGCCAAGTGGCTCCGTCTCCTGAGAGCAGGTAATCTTGATACCAAGCTTTGCCTCAAATTCCTTCAAGAAGTTAAGCATCACCTCTGGCTGGTAATTGATAGCCAAAACCACCTCAGTTACTCCAATTGCCTTGAGAGCTTCGATCTGCAATCATGCATAAAGAAATAATGAACACAGAGAAGCTTGACACTGCGAAATGTGAATGAAATGAAGGGTTTGCTCATACCTGATGCAGAATCATGGGTTTGTTTGCAAAGTCAACAAGAGGCTTTGGAACACTGAGGGTCAATGGCCTCAACCTTGTTCCGAAGCCTCCAACAAGGATCAAAGCCTTCATCTTGATATGATTCCCCCCTGCTTATTCCTGTTCCCAAAACAATCAGACAGAAATCAGCCAATTTCATACATATACATCCGAATCCATGCTACAGAACCTATAGAGAAAGAACAGATAAAACTTGCAGCCATAGAACACCCCTGAGAAATTCTAAGCACCCAGATCCAGGCTTCCACAGGTAAAAGATTAAGTGCTCCCTCTCTCGCACCGACAAATTTGCAAAATTTCATTAACCCCTGAATTTCTGCTGCCGGAAATGCAGAAGGAAGGACATTAACTGATAAAATCCCCTGACAACAACCATATCCTTTTAACCGGTGCACAAGCAGATAGGCAAATGCAGACTCAATAACAAAAGCCAAACATTCCCTAGTCAAAAATGTCAAAGAAAGTCCGGATGCGGTCAAACAACCGGAATTTTGGGGCGAGGAAGGGTAAAAAAACAAGAACCCACAGAAATCAAACAGAAAAAAGGCGGAAGAACAGGAAGTAAATCAGCTTCTCCTCCGCCAGATCCAAACAGTACCCAAAAAAATTCATAAATTTCAACGAATTCGTCAACAAAATTCAGACGAAACCACCGCTGGGGAATACAAAAACCCAGAGAGGCAGAGACGCGACGAAGCTGACCCTCGTATCAGGCCATCAAACATTATCCACATTGTCAACGTTCCGACGAGAGAGCATAACGAAAGGGCGGGAAGAATGAAATTCAGGGGGGAGATCCAAGAAAGCAGGGGGAAACAGAGGAGTAAAATTGTAAATGAAATCACCTTATTCGACGGAGCTGGGCGAGATCGGGAACAGGGGAGGGCAAAAGGGGGAATGAGGATCGAGCTCCGGGAGGCGCCCAACCGGAACGGGGGAAGCGAAGGCAGAGGCAGAGCCGGCGGTGGGGGGAATGGCGCCGGCGAGGGTGTTAATTTATGGAACTAATGGTTTCTCTGGGAAGGGTGGAAGGTGAGAGGTAGGGGAAGGAGGAGATTTGGGTGGAGGATGAGGAGGACGAGAGAAACTTATTTCAATGGCGGTGGTTATTTATACGTGTGAGAAAATTCAGATTTCAGAACATGCCAATATGTTTTACTGACGACAGGAAACTGGAAAAGGCAAACTCTTCAATTCCTTTTTTTCTTTTGTTTTTTTAGGTTACAGAGGGTTGAAATTTAATTATTAATTTTCCTTTTCCATCAAGCTAGTGTGATAACTTTCCTTCTACGAGATTATAAATATGAATTAGGAAATGAATAGTTGTATAACCATTCGACCACGACCTTTCTCGCAATTTAAAAAATAAATTATTATAGAATATTCTTATTCATTTCTCATAGTTATATAATGTCTCACTTCTAAAATCATAATAAAATTTAGGGCAATGTCTATTTTTTACCCAAACCTTTTTCAGATTCTTTTATTTTAATCAAACCTATTGGATTCCTAAAAATTATCCAAACGTTAACTCTCTGTCAACTTTTCTGTTAGTAATGCTGACTAAGTATGACCATAATGAGTTGACTTCCTACGTGGCGGTCAGAATACCATCATTTACTATTTTTAATAAAAAAATTATCAAAAAAACAAAACAAAATCTCACCTCTCACGTGGACGAAATAAGTAACGGTAATAGAATGAATGCCCAGAATTTGATAAATTATAATACGTTTGGATAATAAATAGAATTTCTATAGGTTTGGTTAAAATAAAAGAATCTGAAAAAGGTTTGGGTAAAAAATAGACATTGCCCTAAAATTTACTACATATCTTGATTGACAATTCATCTCGTTAGTTAGTCGTTACCATCCATTTTTTGTTCTTCTCATTTTCACCTGGGCTCAAGTCTCTTAGCTTCCACCACATTAGTTGTTCTTACTTAATACTCATCTTATAGATTTAAAATGTGTATGTGCATGATCCATGATCGGAATGAAAGCCAAAAATACTGCAATCTGACAGTTTGTTTATTGATGGATGGAGATAATATATACACAAGTGACCCAAGGGAATCAGCCACAACAAACGACCTCAATCCCACTCTCCTGCAGATCTGCAACAAAACTAACTACCAGCTGAAAACTAGCTCAAGCTGGTTTAACAACGGTCACTGACCACTTTGACCAAATTCAAAGTCTAAGTACTAAACTGGAAAAACACCAAACGACACAGTTTTATTTGGACTCAGACTAAATACTTAAACTCAAAATACTAGCGCCAAACTCCTTCAACGATCTCATCCTTCTTCACAAAGCCTCCCCTGATCTGGAAGAGGTCTTCTTGTCCAACAAAAGCCTCCCCTGAACTGGAGCCAAGTTGCTTGGCTTAAGTTCGCTCTCCAGCTTCAAACTCGGCACGATCCACCACTCCAAGCTTGGCCCTCATCAGCTGAAAGGTCTCAAGTTTCAGGGCCTTAGTCATCACATCTGCAATTTGTTCATAGGTCCTGCAATGCTCCATTGTCACCACTCCTTTGTTGGCCAGCTCTCTTAAGAAGTGGAAACGAACGTCTATGTGCTTGCTTCTGCCGTGTAAAACTGGATTTTTGGATAGCTTTATGGCTGAGCTATTGTCACAGAAAATCCTTGTTGCTGTTTCCACACTACTCTTCCATCCAAATTGCTCTAGTATTCTCCTCAACCAGACACACTGGGCTGCACTGAAAGAAGCTGCCACGAACTCTGCCTCAGTGGTTGAAAGAGTGACCACAGGCTGTTTCTTGGATGCCCATGAAACCACCCCTCCTGCAAGAAAGAAAGCATAACCACTTGTGCTTTTCCTATCGTCCACATCACCTGCATAATCGCTATCATTGTAGCCAATCAACTCTCCTCCTTCTCCTCCCCTTCTGTACCAAATGCCATGCTCCATACTACCTTTCACATACCTCAAAATTCGCTTAGCAGCCAACATGTGTTGCTTGGTGGGGGATTCCATAAATCTGCTAAGCAGACACACAGAATACATCAGGTCTGGTGGCAGTTATATAAAGGAGACTGCCAATTAGTTTCTTGTACTCAGTGGCATCTGTGGGCACTCCATCTCCTGCTTTAGACAGCTTGATCCCAGACCCGATCAGATTATTGACATGATTGCAGCTTGACAGGTTAAATCTCTCCAGCAACTCTTTTGCATATTTCTGTTGGCAAATGAAAATGCCTGCATCTCCTTGAATTACTTCGACGCCAAGGAAATACCTCATCCTTCCCAAGTCTGTCATTTCAAATTTAGTTTGCATAGAATTCTTGAACTCCTGAATGAGCTGAGGATTGCTGCTGGTGCACATCAAGTCATCCACATAGATGCTCACTATTAGAATATCAGCTCCAACCTTCTTTATGAACAGTGTGTGTTCATATGAGCTTCTCTGAAACCCATTCTGCAGAAAGTAAGTCTCTATTCTACTGTACCAAGCTCGAGGAGCTTGTTTCAAGCCATACAGAGCTTTCCTCAACCTGTACACTTTTGATTCCTCCCCAGCAACCACAAACCCTTGTGGTTGCTCTACATAAACCTCCTCAGACAGTTCACCATATAGGAAAGCAGACTTAACATCTAACTGATGAACTTCAAAACCATGGAATGCAGCATAGGCAAGAAGAGCTCTAATAGTATCCCATCTAGCAACAGGAGCAAATACCTCAGTGTAGTCGATTCCATGTCTCTGAGAGTATCCCTTTGCTACCAGCCTGGCCTTGCGTTTGTCTAGAGAGCCATCTTCCTTCTGTTTTGACTTGTACACCCACTTTAGGCCAATAGGAGTGACCCCTGCTGGACATTCAGTAAGTGTCCATGTCTGATTCTTCTCAATTGAATCCATCTCTTGCCTCATTGCACCATTCCATTGAGGATCCACAGCAGCTTCTTCAAATGTGGTAGGATCATCTGCAACACCAACCAAGGCCCACCAATCTGCATCCATGAGATTGCAATCATAAATATCAAGATGAGCAGGGGGTTTTCTGATTCTTGGGCCCAGACTTGTGCTTGGCAGGCCAAGAACATCTGTTGGGGAGGCAGATTGATCTTCTTCTTCTTCACTTTCAGCTGACTGGGAGTCTGATGCAGGAGGAGTTGGATCTTCTGATTCATCTGATCCACCTGCAGCCTCTCCTGTAGAAGAGTCACTGATTTCTTCTTCTGTGTCTGAGGCTATCCAGTCATCCTCACTGCCTTCCCATGTTATTTTGATAGGTTCAGGTTGATCTTCTGAGTCCCAACACCATCCTGCCTGCTCATCAAACACCACATCTCGGCTGACCACCACTTTCTTGGTGGCTGGGTTGTATAACTTGTAGGCCTTAGACTCCACAGAAATGCCAAGAAAATAGCATTTAGTGCTCTTGCTATCTAGTTTCTTTCGCTGCTGATCTGGAACATGTACATAAGAGACGCATCCAAAAACCTTAAAATGAGAGACTGAGGGAGGTTTCCCAGTCCATAGCTCCTGTGGTGTCTTACCCTGATTTGCTGTGGTTGGACTCCTGTTTGTGACATGAGTTGTCCAAGCAACAGCCTCAGGCCAAAAGAAAGCAGGAACCTTGTTCTCTTCTAAAACACACCTGACCATATTCATTATGGTGCGATTCTTTCTTTCTGCCACCCCATTCTGCTGTGGGGTAAGAGCTGCAGTCAATTGTCTTCTTATTCCTTCTTCTTCACAGAGCTCTTTAAACTCATTCAACAAGAACTCCCCACCTCTGTCAGTTCTCAAGCACACAATGGGAAGACCTGTCTCTTTTTCAACCTATGTTTTGAACTTCTTGAACAGTCCTAGTATTTCAGACTTTGCATTCATAAAGAAAGTCCAAAGTTTCCTACTGAAATCATCTGTTATAGTTAGGATGTACCTCTTTCCTCCATTGGAAGCTGGAGTTATGGGTCCACACAAGTCAGCATGGATCAATTGAAGCTTTTGTGATGCCCTCCAGGTTGTTTGCCTACCAGACAGATTTGACAAACTCCACTTTCCCCTTTCAGTTCTGGCAAGTCAGCTACCAGATCTTTCTTCTTCAAGAGCAGCAGGTTTTGATAGCTCAGGTGGCCAAACCTCCTGTGCCAGAGGGTAAGAGAATTCTCTTTGTTGCTGTCTGTTTGTAAGCACTGATGACCCTGACCTTCTGTCCAGTCAGCTTGGAGAGCAAACATTCTATTAGACTTCATCTGGGTTTGCAACAGCAAACCCTTGCCCTCATGAAACAATTTGCAGCATCCTTCTTTGATTAGAAAAGAGATCCCCTTTTCTTGTAGTTGTCCAACACTCAGCAAGCTTGTCTTCAACCCTGGCACATAGAAGACTTCCTGGATCATCAGAGAAACCTGATTGATCATCAACTTCACATACCCTTTTCCAACAGCTTCCAGCCTCGAATCATTGCCAAGCCTCACATTGCACCTAAAGGTAGTGTCAATGGAAGTAAACCAGCTCTTGTCCCCAGTCATGTGGTTGCTGCAGCCTGAATCAAGGAACCACCAGGTTCTTCCATCTGCTGCCTTTCTTTGCCATCATGGGTGTCTTCAACAGCTCCAATCAGACTTGCTACCTCCTGCCTTGATTCAGTCCCTTCTTGATCAGTGCAGGCCATTAACAAAACATCTTCCTTCATGTCTCCATGTGATCTGTCCTGTGAGGTCTGATAGCTGGAGTAGTGAGCTTGCTGGTTCGAATACCATTCTGGTCATTCAGCTTTGTAGTATCCAAGTTTATGACACTTGAAGCACTCCACAGCTGCTCTGTTCCAACTTCTTCCTCCCCTGCCTCTTCCACGTCCAGGAGACCCTGCAAAACCACCTCTTCCAAAGCCTCTAGACCCCTGCCTCCAAACTCATGAGTGGTTCGAAGGGCTTGATCATCCTCAGCTGCACCTCGCCTATGAAATTTTGTTCATGAACAACCAAGGAACTTTGCAAAGCATCAACTGTTAGCATCTCAATATCCTTGGACTCCTCGATTGAACATACCACGTAATTGAACTTTTCAGTCAATGTTCTTAAAATCTTCTCCACAATCTGCACATCAGTCAGATTCTCTCCACAGCTTCTCATTGAGTTGGTAACAACCATGACCCGGCCAAAATATTCTGTAATGGTTTCTCCCTCTTTCATCTCCAACAGTTCAAAACTTCTCCTAAGTGCCTGAAGCTGAGCCTTTTGGACTCGAGCACTACCCTGGAACTTCAACTCATGGAATCCCAGAGTTCCTTTGCTGTGTTCTTCTTAGTAATTGTTTTAAGAATTACCTTATCAATCGAACTGAAGAGGTAATTCTTGGCCTTCAGATCCCTTAGCTTCAAATCATCCAGGGACTTCTGCTCTACCTCCGAGAGCCTTTCACCTTCAGCTGGTTCCTGATATCCTTCGCTTACGACATGCCAGTACTCCTTCGATCGAAGGAGATTCTCCATCAGCAAACTCCAGTGTTCAAAGTCGCCATCAAACTTTGGAATGCACACCTGTGCAAAGCTGCTGTTTTCACTCATTTTCAGATCTCACCAAACACTCTTGGCACAATTAGCAGTGCTCAACTCTTCCCAGATCAATAATGCCTCACAATAAACACTCGTGTTTCCCCCTACAAGCAACCCTCTTTGCTTGTAGTCTGATCGCACTTCACACTCTTTAGGGTTTCTTGGTTACAACTTGCACTGGCTCTGATACCACAATGAAAGCCAAAAATACTGCAATCTGACACTTTGTTTATTGATGGATGGAGAGAATATATACACAAGTGACCCAAGGGAATCGGCCACAACAAACGACCTCAATCCCACTCTCCTGCAGATCTGCAACAAAACTAACTACCAGCTGAAAACTAGCTCAAGTTGGTTTAACAACGGTCACTGACCACTTTGACCAAATTCAAAGTCTAAGTACTAAACTGGAAAAACACCAAACGACACAGTTTTATTTGGACTCAGACTAAATACTTAAACTCAAAATACTGGCGCCAAACTCCTTCAACGATCTCAGCTTTCTTCACAAAGCCTCCCCTAATCTGGAAGAGGTCTTCTTGTCCAACACGGAAAATGAATTTATAGAGCTACAAGTAGTGAATACATAACCAATCATGTTTATGCAGTCAACATGACAAATTGATATTATCATATCTGTTATGGCATGTGTCGAACCTATCGATATGAAATATCATACTAATTTTTTTTTAAGATGGTCATAAAAACCTAACATGTGTGTTAGTTTAGATCGATATTTAATTCATTTTAATTTTCATCACAGTCAAATAATTGGTAACAACAGATTTCCCGTGGTAAGAAAGAAACCGTGCAATTGTTGAAGGAGGAACAGTTGCCATGTATTTGGAATTCGTGACTGATTATTGATTGCTGCCCATCATTTTGTTAGTGTGGATGGTACTATACTTGTTTGTCCTTAAGTCAGAAACTTCTTGTTAGGAGAGGGAAATTAATTTGGTGGAAGATTCGGGGTTATTTCGAAATTTGGCATTTTCATCTTGTGGACGATTTAGTACTTTCATTTTAACTTCCTGTACATCAAGCTACTGTTTTTATGCCTTCTTTCCATTGGTTAAGTAAGGGTAATGATTCATGAAGTCATATATGTGTTATACATTGAACAACACTTTCGGTCCAGCAACAAGTTTTACAGTGCTGACTGTAATCCAACTTGTCTCAATAATTGAAATTATAAGAAGAGTTGATGTATAGTACTTAAGTATTTCCTTATTTTTTATTCTCGCGAAAACTAATTCATGGACTTAAACAAATGCTTTGAAACAATTGTTAACATTGGGGGTCGTCAGGACATGAAAATGTGACCTCAACGACAAATCATCGATCGAGGTGTTAAGAAAGAGATCCAAGTACAGTAGTTAACCACTTTCTTAGATATCATATGTTCATTTAGCAACGAGATTGATTAGTTTATTTCTATTGGATCTATGAGCTTATTTATCAATCTCGAGAGTTTAACTAGAATCTTCATGATAAGTT